TCATATATCGTATCCGATATGTGCGGCATTCATTGCTGACTATGGAGGGGATTCATTCAAACAGTTCAAAAATAAAAATGAGCATAATTTGACTGAAGGTTAACTTTTTATCAGAGCATGTGCAGGCAATTTTATGTGAGCACAAATATATTTTCTGAAACAAACACCCTAATAAGACTTCACTCTTAAAAAAACTTTTGAAAGACAATGTGTACGGATAACCAACGTAACGTAACTAATCTATAGGGCCTCAGGTATTTCTGGGTAGACATATCTCATTACCTAAAGTGCAGAAATTTAAAAGAGTTTGTTAATAGGGTTCATTTGGAATTAAGCAACTTTGTTTACGTGTTTTTTTAATTATTCTTTAAATTACAACAAAAAGGGGTCTAATGTACTTTCGTATTACTCGCCCATGGTTGAAAGGGTGTTCCCCAACAGCATGGTGACAGATAAGAAAGAATTTCGTCGTTCCCGAAGAGCTGAAAAAAAAAACATGCTGTTGAATGGATTAAAAAGGCAAAATTGGCCATCAAACTGTTGAAGACGTCATCAAAATCCATTCTCATGGAGTGTAGGCGCCAAGGATTTGTTCTCGGTGCTTTTGTTTCAAAATGTTAAAAACAATACAGATATTTTCCGTATTGTGAATTGTCAGGTTTAAAATAGGCAGTAGAAGGCATGACATGTAGATGAGCAATACCAGTTAAGGTATGGCACACTTTCCTTCTTAATTTTCTCGTTATGAGTCATTTTAGATTGTGCAATAGTTGGTGAATCCCTGAAGTCTCAATAAGGCGCGTATTCCAGCGAGATTTCCAGTAAGATAAATGAAGTTCGTCATTATTATGCCACCAAAATTTCGAAAATAACATATTTGTGGTTAAAGATCAAGATATTAATGCTATGGATTTATAAGAAACACATCGGTATAGGATTGGTGCAGTGCGCTGCTGACTTTAAATGACTTTTTACATGATGGATGCAATATATATTTCACTTTAACGAGCTCGTTTACCATTCGCTACTGTTTCTTCTTAAGACACAGGTGCATTGTCACCATGCGTGTTAGATGTAGTAAAAATCTTAAATAACGGAACGGCTACGTGTTAGACGTGCACAAAACGTGTAATTGGACATTTCCTGCTTTGTGTGACCTAAAGAAAAGTTCTTAAGGTGAGATAAAGTAGAAAATCAATGTGCATATATATATCTGGAAGGCACTTAAATTCTTAGGTTAAAACTGTAACCGTATAGTAGTGTTAATATGCTCGATTTGTATTTGATCTTGTTACTGGAATTGTTCAGCTTTCACTCCAGGGCAGCCATGGGTGACTCGTGAACGCCCATTTACTTGAATTAAAGAACAATCATAGTATTATCAGTTAGTTTGACAGATGTTGAGAGATTCTTTAAATCACTATACTGATTCGAGGTTCAGGTTCTATTACTCTGGCAGAATCTAAAATGAACTCTTATCGGAAGTTTTTTAATTAGCTATCGCTTTGGACATTAATTACTAGACTTATGGTTATGTACTCCCCGTAGGCCTTTTACATGCGCTGTGATGCGCTCACTTGTGTTAAGTCAAAATGGATTATATAATTTGAGTTAAGTTTTCTTTGCTTTGGCAAACCTAAGAGCAACATCTGTTTTTTTTTTTTTTTTTTTTTTATTGTTATTTTCAAAAGGAAATATTATAGTATATGGAAACATTTTTCGTAAAAATGGAAAATGGGAAATGGAAAAGTTGCTTTTGAGTATTAGGCCTACTAATGGTTTCGTTAATAGACCGTCTGCGTGCGTCATATATCTTATTCGTACAGAATGATTCCAATCGACTGATATATATGACAGTTTACTTCACTCAAGTCGTTGAACTTTGCCTGAAAATGATTCTGTCTCTTGCAATATGTCATTCAGTGTTAAAGCGGCTTGGCTAAATCCGCCCTTTGGCAGATAATGTAAATTTCGTATCGCACTATAGGTGTCAGGCCAGTCGAACGTCAAATTTTTATCAGTCGTTTATTTTCATATCTTATTATTAGGGGCCTACCAATTGCGTGCCAAATAAGTATATAAGTTGATGTATATATGGTGTACATTCAAGGAAGAACTTGGAGGATAATATTTTATTCAAACAGGTTTACTCGCATGAAATTCAAAGTTATAATCTATTAAGTGCCTCCAACATGACAAAGGTAAGACAAAAAATATGTCATGGTTTGACTGTGTACGGCAAATATTTTCGAGAATGGTTTTGGCTATGGAACAGTATCAGCGCAATAATTTTAATTTAAAAATGATGCATTGAGGTACCAAACCAAGAACTTAAAAAAGTTCCGTCAGTCAATCATCGCATTATCATTACCCCTCCCCTAACACAGNTTTTTCACAGATATTCACAGATATGTCTCTAGATAAATAGATAGTCATTTTGATCTGATGTCGCCTCAGCAAAAAATGTCCCCAAGAACTGCGGCCTTGGTAGAGGGTATTGTTCAGCAGCTCCACGCGTTTAGGAATTCCACACCTATAGCAGCTCCATGTGTTTAGCAGCCTCACGCGCTTAGCAGGGGAAGTGCTTAGCCAATGTGCTTAGCTTGTGATAGACTTATTATAGATCCATATACCGGTGAAGCTAAGCACATAGCTAAACGTGTAACACTGCCAACGTGTCTAGCATTTTCTTCTGTGAAACGCTTGAAAAGCTATACGTGCTTAGCTTTTACACATATTTCTAAATGCGTATAGGTGCTTAACGTATGTTGTATGTATTTAAATGCTAAGCACTGTTTTTACAGTGTACGTTACGCGGATCACATCTTTTAAGGAAATACTGTCTCTGCAAATCTCTTTGAGACTGATACATTTGAACTACCTGACCAATACTGCAATATACTTAAGTGTTCAGTGCTATTATATCCAAAGCCCACCGAAATGGAGTACAATCTCTTTGGGAGAATTGCATACCGTAGTACTTGTGTGCCAATTGTAATGCAATCATCAAACGAGGATTGTGTAATATTGAAACATCGTGCTCAGTACAAACCGAAAGATATTCTACAAACGGAAACTACGAAAAAGTACAAAAACTATTCTAACTCTAAAGAAGCTAAAATAACTTCGAATTATATGGGCAGGACGATAGGCAGTTTCCTAAAATCTACGCATGGAAATGCACGAACATAGAGAAACGCCTGCATTCCAACTCCTGTCTTCCGAAGAATCAGAACTACATGTAAGAGCTACCGTTAAGGCATTTGACTTGCGCAGTGGAAGTGCATTAAAGATTGATATTTTGTACTAAATTTTGTTATCTATTCAGTGAAAAATTGCGTTATAAATACCATCGTGTTTATTATACACGTATTTAAAGCGATGTGGTTACCTTGAAGCTGATCTTTGTTTAAATAATCATTATTTTGAATTATTACCCCTTTTGATCTTTTGACAAAACACAAACACGTGTAGTGTCTGACACAAGGATTTATTTCGCGTGAATTCAAATATTCTGCCTCACTTTAAATCTTTATGTGTACGGTTTTGAGGAAAAAACATTTTGGGTAAGGGTGCAGCATCACCTTTAACACTGCACTGCTGGGCGCATTATTCAGTGCTAAAACTTTAACGGACATAGACAAATGGTCGCTCCTCTTGGTATGTGTAAGCTGCCTTTCAAAGAGAATTTGAGTGTGGACGTGACCTGAGGATAAGATAAAAGCAAAATTCCTATTTAGGGAATGAATGTTTGTATACAAATGACCTCGACAGGGTGAAACTGAAGTACCATTTTAGGCAAAAGTTCCATGACCTGACATCTATTAATTTTTTTCTGTTTTGTGTGTATGTTAACTGTAGGAAAAGCTGTGACCTCATTTGATGCATATATACTGAGGAAAACATCGAAATATTGGAGGTAAATAACATTTTTAATATTAGCTGTTAGTTGAAGAGAGATTTTGCTAACTGGAAATGAAAGGATTCTAAGAAAAGATAAATACTATAAGCCATCTGTGAAATTTTGTAAGGTGCATTTTTTTAGCAATTCAACCAAATTCGATTACTTGTCTCCTAAACGTGGATATACTGAACTCATATTTCTAACCGATTTATTACTGACTATTGGGGGGGGGGGGGGGTTCACTCAAACAGTTAAAAAATGAAAATGAGCATAACTTGACTGAAGGTTAACTTTTATCGGAGCATATGGAGGCAACTTTTCTGTGGGCACAAATATATATCTTCTGAAACAAATACCCTAATATGACGTCATTGTTAAAGATCTCTTTGAAAGTCAATGTGTGAGGATAACTAACGTTACGTGAGGACTTTATAAGGTATTTCCGGGTAGACATACATCTTTCTAATACGACCTAAATTGCAGAAATTTAATTTTTTTGTTAATTGGGTTCATCTGGATTGAAAAACTTTGTTTATGTATTTTATCTTCATCTTTAAATTACAACAAAAGGAGTCTAAATGTATTATTCGCTGATGGTTCCCCAACAGCATGGCGACAGATAAGAAAGAATTTCGCCGTTCCCGAAGATCTGAAAAAACAAAATGCTGTTGAATGGATTAAAAAGGCAAAATTGACCATGGCCATTAAACTGTTTAAGACGTCATCAAATCCATTCTCATGGAGTATAGCGCCAAGGATTTGCTCTCTGTGCATTTGTTTCATAATATTAAAAACAACAGATATACTTTCCGTATTGTGAGTTTTTAAGTTTATAATAGGCAGTAGAAGGCATGTAGATGAGCAATACCAGTTAAGGTATGGCACACTTTCCTTCTTAATATTCTCGTTATGAGTCATTCAGATTGTGCAATAGGTAGTGAATCCCTGAAGTCTCAATGAGGCGCGTATTCCAGCGAGATTTCCAGTAAGATAAATGAAGTTCGTCATTATTATGCCACCAAAATTTCGAAAATAACATATTTGTGGTTAAAGATCAAGACGTTCCTCATTAATGCTATGGATTTATAAGAAACACATCGGTATAGGATTGGTGCAGTGCGCTGCCGACTTTAAATGACTTTTTACATGATGGATGCAATATATATTTCACTTTAACGAGCTCGTTTACCATTCGCTACTGTTTCTTCTTAAGACACAGGTGCATTGTCACCATGCGTGTTAGTTGCAGTAAAAATCTTAAATAACGGAACGGCTACGTGTTAGACGTGCACAAAACGTGTAATTGGACATTTCCTGCTTTGTGTGACCTAAAGAAAAGTACTTCAGGTGAGATAAGGTAGACAATCAATGTGCATATATATCTGGAAAGCAATTCAATTCTTAGGTTAAAAAGATAACTGTTTAGTGGCATTAATATTCTCGATTTGTATTCGATCTTGTTATTGGAATTGTTCAATTTTCACTTGAGGGCAGCCATGGGTGACTCGTGAACGCCCATTTACTTGAATTAAAGAACAATCATAGTATTATCAGTTAGTTTGAGAGATGTCAGTTTGGATTCCTGATCTTTAAATCACCATACTGATTCGAGGTTCAGGTTCTTTTACTCTGGCAGAATCTAAAATGAACTCTTATCGGAAGTTTTTAAATTAGCTATCGCTTTGGACATTAAGTACTAGACTTATGGTTATGTACTCCCCGTAGGCCTTTTACATGCGCTGTGATGCGCTCACTTGTGGTCAGTCAAAATGGATTATATAATTTGAGTTAAGTTTTCTTTGCTTTGGCAAACCTAAGAGAAACACCTGTTTTTTTTTCATTTTCAAAAGGAAATATTATAGTATATGCAAACATTTTTTCGTAAAATGAGAAATGGAAAAGTTGCTTTTGAGTATTACTAATGATTTCGTTAATAGACCGGCTGCGTGAGTCATATATCTTATTCGTAAAGAATGATTCCAATCGACTGATATATATGACAGTTTACTTCACTCAAGCCATTGAACTTTGCCTGAAAATGATTCTGTCTCTTGCAATATGCCATTTAGTGTTAAAGCGGCTTGGCTAACTCCGCCCTTTGGCAGAAAAAGTAAATTTCGTATCGCACTATAGGTGTCAGGCCAGTCGAACGTCAAATTTTTATCAGTCGTTTATTTTCATATCTTATTATAAGGGGCCTACCAATTGCGTGCCAAATAAGTATATAAGTTGATGTATATATGATGTACCTTCAGGGAAGAACTTGGAGGATAATATTTCATTCAAACAGGTTTACTTGCATGAAATTCAAAGTTATAATCTATTAAGTGCCTCCAACATGACAAAGGTAAGACAAAAAATATGTCATGGTTTGACTGTGTACGGCAAATATTTTCGAGAATGGTTTTGGCTATGGAAGCGTGTGGTTGAACAAATATGTGCTTAAAGATTCATCCATATTTTTAGAGAAAGAATCAGGATCTAGCTGAAACACAAATAAACGACATAGCTGGCACCAAATTTAAACCACAAGCTCTGTGCCAATTTAAGAAAAACAAGGAAAAGGAAAGACATTTGCATTCAATTAAAGACAGGGATAAATACTCAACACAAACTAGCTTCCATATAACAGGGGACAAGTTAAGCATTGAGATGGGTAGGCACTCAAACTGACAAAATCAGACAGAAATTCTGAAAAGTGTAGTCCTGGGGAGGTAGAAGATGAAACCCATTTCCTTGTAATATGTCCTCTTGATGCAGGTGCGTTGTGCTCTCTTTTGGTGCACAATAGAAATTGCAAAAACTCTGAGAGTATTAAAGACGCATATGATCTAGTCACCCTTATGGACAGTGAAAACGATGGACATATGACTGCACTAGCGAAGCTTTTTATTTTTTGGTTAGCCTTTCAGAAGATAAGAGGGACTGTGCTGCATCCATCCTCAATACGCCATTTCACGGAAACTGAATCTATTTCGTACACTTTCCCAGTACCTGATTTTATTCAATGATATATTATACAGAATGCTGTATATCATATTAAGTGTCATATCTCGCAATGTAACATGTCACATAAGGTGTCATATATTACTTACCATGTCACATGCCGGATCCAATGTCACACATTATGTGCAATGTCGCAATCATAAACAGTGTTACATTGGACACAACAGTATCAGCGCAATAATTTTAATTTAAAAATGATGCATTGAGGTACCAAGCCAAGAACTTAAAAAAGTTCCGTCAGTCAATCATCGCATTATCATTACCCCTCCCCTAACACCGTAAATATGAATCATTATTGTTACTCGTACCCCTGAAACCCTAGTACAAGTGATTTATAAGACATCTCTTTTAAGCCTGTCCACACACCTTATTTTCTGAAGTCAAAGTGAAAAGCCCGCGTGACAAAGGACATCACGGACCCTCATCACTTATTTGTGGTCATCTTTTATCATGTTTACAGTCGTAGCGGTTATAATCTAGTTATCATAGGTAAATGTTATACCACAGTGGTGAGACCTCAAGTGATGATTGAGCTTGTTTGTTTATCTTTTTTTGTGTGTGTATGTACTTCATCTTTTTGTCAGTGGATACATAGTGACCATCTCGTAATGAAGGCCCAAGTCTAGTCACATGTTATTAATAGTAGGGAGGTTTAAGGGCTTGTTGTAATGAATTGCCGTACGTCAAAGAAAGTATCTCAAGTTAAGTCAAGCTTGTGAGTCAGATTTTAAAAGAATATGTTATTCAATAACACCTTCGGAAATGCTAGAAGCTAGATGCGGACATATTATTTTTTTCAGCTTAAATGGGAAGTTTATTTGAACGATATCTTCGACATTCTTCAGATGCACTATCAGATGGAATTAAACCTGTCCGTCCCTTATACGCCCGAAGACATGAGATCATATCTAAAATAAGGAAATTTAAAATGAAAAATTCCAGGTGGAATTATTCAAATTGACTTAACCACAACACGTGGTTGAACCATTCAGTACTAGGGTAGCCAATGAGCAAAAGTTGTGTGAAATAGGTCTTCTTTTCCATCATACAAAAACCTTTAAAGGCACAAGTAATGAAAAAGAAGTTTGTGGAAAAAGAAATTTGTGGCGTGAAAATAATGAAGAACAGTTTTGGTCACGAAGTATTACTGTCTTATTTCACATATTCCTCTTTTATTTTGCGTATTTTTAACATACAAACAAAAATTGTAAGGCTTTTGCTTTTATTTTTGTTTGAATTATGTCAATGATAATAACGAAAGAAGTAAGAGTTACTTACAAGTTCACAGTAAAAGTCGGTTTCAGAATGCTGCTCTGTCACACTGCGCATAAACTTAACGGGCAGAATTAATGACCATCTTATTTATCCACATTTCAAATATAAATATTAAGGATTGGTAAACACTGGATTTTAACAAGGTTTTAATCTAATTTGGAACCTGCTTTTTGGCATAAATCATACTAAAAGCCACAAATGAAATGAGCCCCACATTATTTATTTGTCTTTGTATGTGCGCGATAAGGGTGAAATTGTATTACATATGCACAGGCTGTTATCTTTTATTTTTGTCGTTAAAATGACTACGGGCTGAATTGGGGTAACGTCTGATAGCTTTTTTATGGCATAGTTCGAGTTAATTGTATCTTCAACGCTTGACGTGAATGCCAATCTCGTTTCATTGCTTCGTGTATTACAAAGATAACGACAAACCTGAATAATAGTGAATAGCTTTAGCAGTCTGTGATTACGCATAAAGGTACCTACATACTTTTATATTTTTCATCGAATTACGTCTGGTTGCTGCGCGGTAGTCACACTGTTCCCTTATTTTTCTAGTAGGGGGATCCATTACGTTAGTGGGGAATTGATTTAACCTTTCGAAAAAAGTATTTGGAACCAGAAATATCCGGCTAAAACTAGTTTTTCTCTACCACTATAAGCACAGCCTCATCCAGGGGCGCAATGCCTATTATTGTAGTTGCTTAGATGAAGGAAGTGCGCTTTTGTATTGAAGAAAGCAAGAAGTCAAGATATAATTCAATTATATCTATTATCTAAATTCCAATTGACATTTATAGGGCAGAAAAAAACATTTATGATAAAATAGGCGCTCAAGATTCTTTATCGATCACTGAATCGGAAAAAATTAAATGTTATTCTTCTGTGAAATATAAGTACATATTCAAGTTTTTTTTTATCATTACTTATTTTACATATTAGTTTTATCTTGACAGGAAGCTTGTAAGTCTCAGATTTTACAGTCATTGTATTGACCCACATATTCGCCGACCTCTCATTTGCTGACATTTTACCCAACATTTAAAGTAAAACGAAGTATGGAATAACCTTACACCCATTTCATTTGTGAAAAGAATCTGGAGAAACTGGTTTTGAAAACAATCCGCATGCTGCAGTAATACTGGCGCAGTGAGCCGCCACGGTATATTTAATAACCAGTTCTATTTCAGCTTCCTTAAGGGTCACTAATTCATCTCCATATCTTTTTAGAGTAATCCCCACTCCAGTGGTCTCGTTACAAAGACATGCCATTTAAATGGAAATTTCAGTGCTTCAGATCAATGCCATAAAAACGTAAAGTATTCAAGGGATTGAATACAGGACAATATTATGCCTTTAAATCTGCCATGACCCGCAATCCTGTATATACAAACTCGCTTTCTGTGTGATGTGATAGGCTTCAGATATTGTTAGTTTGCCACTACTGTGACTTGAAGGTTGTGTCTGTGGCTGAGCTGAAGTGAGGCGATGGTTGTTTTCAACGGTAGTGCTTATTGACCATGTAAACGCACGTGACAAAAGGTATGCTCAAACACAAATAAGACAACATTGACTTAAGCAATTTGCTTCTTATTATAAAGTACTACATATGCAACGGGCAGAAGGGGCTGGTCAGGTATATCGCCAGCCACTTTTAAAGGATATATTACATGTACCTGTGGAGAGAGCCACAGTTCTAAGTCTACATGTATGTAAGTACGTGCAGTGTTTTCCAAAAAGTTATGGTTTCTTTTATTGTGTTTATGACCATGATTTTTTTCTGTTTTGTTTTTACTGATGATTACTGATGATTATTTTGACTGATGTCTTGTGCTGGTATTCTATATGACATTATGTGCATTATAAGACAATCACGCCACTGTAGCATACGGTGCGTCTGATGAGTGGAGAAGTTTTCTTAAAATGTGCCGGTGTGAACACATGTCCTAGCTGCGTATAAATACAGCTAGGAATCTAGGTCCGGGTAGGACAGTGCATCCTAGGGAACAAACGTCCATAGGACATGTTTTCCCAGGATCTCCGTTCCTGGGGGACATGCATTCCTTTCACACCGGCTTAAAGGCACAATGTTTACCTGTGTCTCCCTGCCAGTGAGTAACGCAAGGCGAAAGTTGGTCTTAACTCATAATAGTCTATTTACATGTCACTTCTTTAGGTTTAAAAAGCCAACTATTTCTTACTCTTTGTCAAACCGCCCGTTATTTACATAGAGGTGAACTCCATCCGTTTTTCATTCGTTATCTCTTGTACATGTATGCAGATGGTAAAAAAATGGTTCGCCACACAGGTTAAAGGGTAATTGTCTTTTTTAGGGACGATGTACTTTTTTGTCAGATTTCAAATTTATCCCGGGTCAAAACAGATCGTTATTGTTGGCCTTAAGGTAAAAGCTTCCAAGAAAATATATATTTTGTGAAACGGGACGCTGCTTGCTTTGATATAGGGAGTTAACCTGACCTCTGCAGACCCTTAAAGTTGATCTAGAAAACTCGTTTGGATTTAGTATTTTGAACGAATTGAAAGGCTGAAGTAGACATGGGGCATTGAAGGAAACGTATTGAAATAAGATCAAAATCCTTACTAACGAATTATTTTACAATATCAAATTATTTCCTTTGTGTTTTGTTAAAGACGCATTTTATTTTTTTGACAACTGAAACACAGGACACAGTGATCATTTTTACATTCTGAAACTTAATGTGTATTTTATACAAAGGCCAAATTCCTTTTCACTGCAGGTGTGAACGTTATTGTAAAAAGGTGCGTGGAGTTGAATAATAACAACGCCCCACTGCATTCTTGACTTGGCAGTGACGCTTCCTGTTGACACTAAAATTTATCAGACAAAGATGCAAGTATTCTTTTTTCTAAAGACAAATTTCTTAATTTAAGGATAACAGGATTTTCTATTGTTTGAACCCGTGTTTGGGATTATGCACCACTCAGGAGGTCCTCACAGAAAGTCTATGCCAATGGTGCTGACAAGCGGCAATCCAGCTCCCTTTTTTCAAAAGCTCAATACACACTACAGAATTGAAAATATAAGATAAAAATAACAATACAGTGCTCCTTTGACTGAAAGAAGGAGACACACCGTATAGACTGGTTACCGCACAAAATAAATTATGTCAGTTTGTCAAGGACTTATGCGACACTGTGACTTTATGGCGGACGTAGCCTTTATTAGAAATTTTGGGGAAATATGGGGAATATTGGCACGCACGCGCACACACACACACAAAGAGAGAGAGAGAGAGAGAGAGAGAGAGAGAGAGAGAGAGAGAATAACAACTCCAACAGTTTGTCAAGCATTCGGATTGTAGTGGATTGATTGTGTTGATATACAGCTTCTATTATACACTGCCAGTCATGAACTCTGCCAATTTTAATGTCAAGATCCCTTGACCTCAAATAACTTGCCAGATATAATAGCCCTTATTCAAACAACGCTGGTAACATATATATTATAACAACATGAAATAATGTAGTTGTTGTGCGTTTTCCATATGATGACTTAATCTGTCACAAAGAACATTGTCTCTCATGTGATATTAGTATTAGATTTTTATTGCACACAGGGCAGGGAAATATCTTATCAATGTGGGGTAGTACGTCAGTGATCCTCTATGTTATGAAATTGCAAATATTGTGGATTGATAATTGCAAAGCAAATGTGAAGGATTTTCAGAATTCACCCCGGTTGCACATGAATCCCAAAATTTAAATGCAAGAGATTTTAACATAGTTAATGTGGGGTATAGAAATACACGTAGTCGGCCGTACAAGAAACCAGGGAAGTCTATCTTGTACAAGATTATTGAAAATAATGAGCCGTAGATTATATTACCCTCCCGTCGGCTAACTTTTTACCTACCTGATTTAAACTGTATACGATTTTGCCTTAGCAGGTGTGTGAAATATAATTTAAGGGGTCAAACATATCTGACATTACAATATAAGGCAATTAACATTTAGAGTGATAGAAATAGCCGATGCCATTCCTTAGTGGGAGGGATATACCAGTAAATGTAAAGACGGATATCCATCCAAGTTGAGTTGAATGAAAATGCATTTGTTTTGCGTAAATTAATGAAGTGAAATACCACGTGTATTTTATTTCAGGATTAAATGTTATTGCTTTTTGACAAGAACAATAAATAATAATTAAAGCGACCGGTGTGGCTCGCTCCGTATTGTGATGCCGGTTATCATAAAAGTCATGATGGCAGGAATTTTATCAGCTTTTTAAAAACAAAAGATGTTCTTTTTTATAACTTGTAGGGTTTTTTATGTTTGAAAATATTGTTTCCTTATTTTTTTCTCTTTTTGTTTTTAGGTACCCCAAGTTTGCTTAAACCCTTCGAGTGTTCTACACGACGACTGTGGGGGTCTATCAGAGGTGACACTGAGACCTAAAACAAGCCAAACAGCTGATTAACTTCTATCCTTAGGCTTAAAGAGTATAATAAGCAAGACAGGAATACTATACAGAAGAAATTGTCTCTACCTTTTCCAGTTAGCCACCTGGATATCAATATACACGTACGAACAGTAAACATCGCACATTTTTTCGCACGTCATGTACAAAAGGTAGAAAAACAAGAGGACAAATCTTGAGTGGATTACCTGTTATTGACTCGCATAATACTGCGTTGACAATGGCAAAGGTCGGAGAGCAACATGCGACCTATTTCAACGATGTAAATTATAATAGTCTAAATAGGCAGAGTGAACTGGAGTATGACTTAAATATCGACCCGGTTCAGGAGGCGCTGCGGAGGCAAGTCAGTCGGTCTCTTGCTACAGAGGCGGCCAAAAGGGTTAAATCTTCGTCCACGTCTGATGGAACCTCGACGAAGTCAAATACATCAGAGAAAAGTCAATTTAGTCAGGAAACAAAAAGCACAGGCAGCAAGAAGGTGTCTTCCGCTCACTCGTCAGTCAGAAGTAGAGACTTAAAAGAACTATCTCTTATCACCGCAGAGATTGATAGCTGGGATGAAAACGCACCCCCTGGTCCTGCCTTAGGCAGTAGTACCCCCGGGCACGACGCAAAAGACCACAATACCAATGGTTCTGACGCCAGCGAGAACTTACGTTCTAAAAAAGCAAACATGAACCGACTTAGTGAGCTTAGTTTATCCGAAGAGGTGATGACCGATCTTGGTATCGGCGTGCTGGATGAATCCATCGACAATTCACCCCAGTCTGGCGGTAAAACGAGCCAAGGAGGAGTAAAGCACGCCAAATCAGGTCACCTGAGTGGCTTGGAGAGCAGGGCCCAAGAAAACGCAGGGGTCGATTACTGCGAGGTATCTAGTTCTGAGATTCTCGAATTAAAGCAACAACAGGCTTATGGACAACAACAACACCAACGACAGCAAAACCAGCAACAACATTTGCAGCAAAGTCAACCACAGTCCCATACAAGACAGAGTGAACTACCCCCACAGGAAGAAGATATTACATATGAAGCACACGGATCACCAATAACTGTGCAAGGCCAGATAGTAAAGGGGGCCCCTTTGCAATTAGCTGGTGGGGCCAAGCACGCCAACCCAAATCAGATGAGATCCATGGAGAGTAGGGCTCAAGAAAATGTTGATGTCGATTATTGTGAGGTATCTAGTTCTGAAATTCTTGAACTTGAGCAACAACGAGCTCGTGAACAACAGGAGCAAAAGCGACAGCAAAGCCAGCAAAAAGGCATACAGCAAAATCAACAACAGTGCCATACAGGACAGAGAGAACTACCCCCAGATGAAGAAGATATTACATACGAGGCGCACACATCGCCAATAACTGCACAGGGACAAACAGTAAAAGGAGAGCGCGTGCAGTTTGCTAGCGCTACCTTGGAAAGGGGAATGCAAAATGAACTTAACAACGACAGCCGGTCATTTTCTCAGGATGACCTCAGGACAGTCAGTTCCACGCCAGCCATCTCAGCAACAATGACCCGCCACGATTCGGGGTTTCTTCAAGAGGCTAAGGAAAAGATGAACACCTTAAAGAAACAAATACAACGCACCCAGTCACAACGTGAAATGCAGTCCGGAGAGAGAAACGTCGTTGTTACAAAGAAATCTGCACATAATCTACATTCGTCTGCTTCGTCCCAGGCTCAGTCTATCTCTAATACAAACCAGGAAAGTTTCTCCTACGGTTCACTGAAACATGAAAAAGTCTCGTCAAGAAATGTAGTATCTTCTACGAAGGAAAATGTAGAAGGGAAAGATCTATCTGAAAGAAACTTCAGCTCCAGAACCCCCCCACAAAATTTGCCAGTCCAAGAAAAATGGGAGAAATCCGGCGCTCATCGTGTCTTTGACAGCCGATCGCCAGATGCGTTCAGCCCTACTAAATTTGAGGAATTTCAGACTCAAAATCTCAAGTCCAGGACTGAATCTGTAACAAAAACAGGTCTAGGAGAAGTCCCACAGCAATATAAAGAGACTAGAGACGTTGAAATAATTTCATCTTCGGCATCCCCAGCTGTATCGAAGCAGGATACCTATGAGAGAGTAACAGAGACAAGACAAAATGATGTAACAAACGAACGCACGCGGGTGAAAACCAATGGCAGCATCAGCTCTACTACTGCAATGTCGGCGCAATTTCAGCAAAGTGTTTCAAGTGGTAATTCTCGCCCCGGGATCAAAACAACGACAAATGTTAAGAAACCCGAGCTCCAAAACACCGCTGAAAGAGAAAAGAATTATTCAAATAGATCACATATTGAAAAGAAAATGCACCAAGAAGACGTTTTTGACGGAGAAGTCTCAACCATTTATCAAAGCCGCACACAGACGAAAAAGGAAAAGAGCTCTAAAAAGGAAAAGAAAAAGGAACAAAACAAAGGAAAAAATGACGATAGTCATTTTAGAGAATCGCTCATCGTCAGAGCTGAACCTCGTGCAGATTTGGGCGAAGGGGTCGCTGTTCTGGATCTTTCAGGTAAAGATGGCAGGGATATCGAGGCCAAATATCGAGCGCAGTATGATCACCGCATAACACCAAACGGTGACGTAGACGACGGGGACCTGAGTAGCAGCAGTCAGTCAAGTGATGATGAATACGTATCCAAAATGCACTACACACCTAATCACTCTCAGCAAGCGGTAGGAATACCCAATCAATCCAGTCACAATAATGTTTCAGTTGTGTCCGTGTCACCGCAGAATTCGTCTCATAAAACGGGTTCACCTGAGAGAAATATTAACTACCCCGATGAACCGCAGCCTCACCGTTCCGCGCCATATACGTCAAACATGAATATTTCTTTTCAACCACAATTAACCGCCCAACAGCCAATTCGTAATAAAAGTGAGAATAACCCAGGACTAATTAAAGTCACCAAGGGTAACCCTATGCAAAGTGAAAATTCCACTGTTAATCCGGCAGTCGGCAGACCGTATCAAGACATACAAGTTGCGTCTTCAGCGCCGGTAAAGGAAGAAATGATAACGGCTAAAAAGAAACAAAACGAAGCTAATCCTCCACGTCCTGAGGCGACGCTTTCGTCCCCTACTTCGACCATAAATCCTAAGGAGTTAAAAAATGTGGCCAGAAAGCACAAGGTGGGTAAAATATCTCACAAGTTTGCCGACAGGGAGATAACATTAACTGGCGGCTCTAGACCCACTGTGTTAAAACACTCCGAGATAGAGCGTCACAGGCCTGACAGCAGCCTAGATGGTTCTTTGAATGAATCAGCGATTAGCGAGTCGTCGTTCACATCAGAAGGGGAAGAAGAGGAGGGGATAACACCGTTAAGGGTCACTGCCGCACCTGAGCGACCTAACCGGTATTCACCTGCGTTTCATATGACGCCACAACAAAGTGCGGCTGATGACATGCGCACAGAGGCCCAACCCAGATCAGTTAGCGTCAACACCTCGCCCGGAAAACAGGTGAAACCAGTCCCCGCTTACGAAAATGGAAGCCATCAATTTCGCGAGTCTCCTAGTCCAGATGATCCATTATACGCCCAAGAGCCCTTGATAATACCTGAAGTCGACGAGAGAATGCAGTATCAACGATATCCCAGAGTAGATAGGACACGAAGTCCATCAGAACATTCATCCACGTCCAGTCGGTCATCAGTTAGCATAAGACACGAGCCTATACACCAGGAACCGGTTCAGCGTATGCACGTACAGCGTGTTTATACTGGGCCCGTTGTACCGAATCAACAAAGTCCTATTGACCGCCGTATGATGAATGGGCACACCGTACATGGGCAGCGATATTATGAGGAGACAAAAACTGTGACACAGCAAGGCCCGCACCAGAATAAACCAGTAACTCAGTCACAAAAACAATCGGTGCGAGAAGTGTACACATTAGACGGCGATGGAAGGCCAGATCAAATAAGAAAACAGTACATGTCAACAGACAGCGGCATTGGAATGCCTAGTCCTAGCGAAGAACGGTACTCGACGATCGAGAGAGAATACGAAGAAAGGAGTATAAAATCGCGACGAGTAAGTGCAGAGAACAATAACAACGTGTCCAGGGTGTTTGTAAACAGCCCCTCTCCTGCCCCCCAGCAGCGCATTGACGTCGAATACGTGAGCCGTACGTCAGCGACGCCATCACCGACTCGGTCTCAAGTTCATTCTCGTAGTGAAAGCCGTAACGAGGAGATATACCAGAGATCGCCGTCTCCATTTGATCGTTCTCGCTCTCCGTCAATTTATATAGCAGTGCCCGGGTCATCAGAATATTCCACAAGTTCTAGAGAGTACACTACCAGTACAATGTCGCCAGTGCGTACTCAAACTCAGAATCGTATAGTGACTCCGTCATACGTGCTTGAAAAACATCGCCTAGAAACTGAGATTGTTCAGGGCAGCGCTCCCAGCGGCGTTAAAGTCGAAGCTCCTGCCGGGCCCACTCCGTTGTACAGAAAGATAGAAATACTCCCGACAAAAGCCGCTAAAACCACACGGCACGACAGAGAAACCGAGGTGTTGAAGCAAGAGCTGGTGGAAACAATTGTAAATGAGTCTACGTCCGACTACGACGAGTACGTGGAAGTGAATGATTTTAACCGTGCCAAATGGGACGTGGTAGAAGAGGCGCACTTGGAACGGAGTCCTCAGAGAAGCCCCGAGCCAGTTGGCGCACCTGTGACAGTCATACAAATCAACGGTGCAGACTCCAAGCATCACGATGAAAACACATACTATGCCAAGCGCATAAAAAGTAAGACCGTAACGAATCAACACCAACATGTGGAGACTACAGATAGCGTGAAACGCAAGACCGCAGGCAAAAAACACCGTGCAACGTCTCCAGATAGGCCTGTATCTGAGGAGCCGTTGGAGATGAAACGAATGAAAAATGTCGAGCGGGGCACCAGTCCCGATCGGCCGGTCTCCGAGGAGCCTATGAGGCCCAGGAAAACGACTAATGTCGAACGTGGCACCAGCCCTGATCGCCCCGTCTCCGAGGAGCCTATGAGACCCAGGAAAATGCCTAATGTCGAACGTGGCAACAGCCCCAATCACCCGGTCTCCGAGGAGCCTATGACGATGAGAAATGCCGGTAATGTCGAGCGCCCTACGAGCCCGGAGCGCCCGGTGTCAGAAGAGCCAATGACCATGCAAAGAGTAGAAAACGTCGAGCGCCCGACGAGCCCTGAACGCCCGAGATCCACTACTCGTTTATACGTGCAAACTCCTAATGATTTACCCGAGTTACGTCAATTCATAGAGGAAAAAACAACGACTAAAAGAACTGTCCATACCATGGAAATGGCAGAAGAGGATATTTTAAGCAGCACCAGCAGCAGCGAGGAAGATGAATACTCTGATGAAGAAGATGGCATCCCAGTTGACGAAAACTTTAACGTCGATAAACAATTCCCTGTCGAAACTAGCAGTGAACAACGTATGATCACAAACAACGTGGAAACAGCTGGCGCGCCGAGGTACGTAGACATTGACGAAGACGACAATGTGAACGTTTTTGACCAGCAGTTTTTCGTGAACAGAGAAAACCCACTGTATCACAGCGAAGAAAACCTCAACCGTGTGGACGAGTCTGAAATCGTAGCCACGAGAATAGAGAGGGTAGAGACTGAAGCCAGAGCTCAGGAAATCGACGAGGTGGACCATGTTGTTAAAGTTGATAAAGAAGAAGTCGAACAAAAACGTAATCAGCCTGAAGAAACAGAGGGTGAGTTTAACAGGCCCATGTAACTTACTATTTCTCTTTGACTAGTCCTTTTAACGCTATGAAATTTAATAGTAATTAACCCGTAATTTAAGTCTTGCAATTTACGAATACTTATCCTACATATTTGAAAAGAAAGTGGAGCATTATGTGATAATGCAAATATCCCTATGTAACATGATATGTCCTTTTTCACAAGGGCTTTATTTACGACTGTATGGGTCTGTCAACACTTTATATGTTATTGTCTAAAATATTTGAACATTTTATAAGACACCACTGTTGAATTGTTTTTTTAAATGCATCCCACGTTTTCCCCTAAAATTGTCGTATCCATTAATTTCAAAACCTCTCAATTTGTATCTTAAACTTGGCCAAAAGAAAACCACGTATATGTAATTGTTACCTGACACCAAGTGGGGCAGAGAAAAACTGGTTCTACCCGTTCGAAGAATGTCACATTCCCATCTTGACAATAACTACTTCCAACTATTATAGCCGCTTGAAAAATTCAACGGCAATAAAAGCTTTTATACAGTCATATCGTCTTTCACACTCATATAAAACATCAACTGAGTAGTAAATACATGTTTTTTAAATCAAAATCGGCCATGGTCCCAAATCTGCCCTATAAAGATGTAAACTCATTCTTGTCATTCTCATTTATATGATAAGTATTACTTGTGAGAATATTCCAGATCCATATTGTAGCTGGCAGAGACACAGTAATTCCAGTCTTATTTTTTTCATCTTTTCTAATACACCCATAGTGTTGCGTGTGTCGAATATAAATGAACCGCATTCCTACTTATAATTGAGGCCTGCAAGGATTTTATTTTATTTTAAATATCTGCGATAAACTCGTCCAGTTAAATATCACGAAGTCATATCAACGAAAAATAACTAGACGTGGAAAAACACTAACGCCATCTTGTGAATTTCAAATGCTAAGCAAAACTTTTAATATTTGTCGTAAATTTAACTTGCATTATAGAACCGGTAACCAGGCTATGCTTACACGAATAAGATTTGCACAGTATTTTTCAGTTTGCCCTAAAAATTAATTTCATCAACATTTGCTTTCCTTCCATTTACATTTGTTAGGAGTAGGTTATTTCTTATTTGCCATATGGACGTAATATATGCACCCGGTGCCCGAGTGTTTATTTCATATATGTCTGTGTGTTGTAGCACTCCACTTTATGAGACATATTATACGACTGAATTAATTATCATTCAGTACTGATAATAATGCACCCCAGGCAGCTTAGTTTGGCGCAGGCATACCTCGTTTTTTTTTTTCACCGCAATATGAACTGCTCCACGTCATGAGCTTGCTTGACTGCTAAGCAAATATTACCCAGTCAACCGCCGCGACGCTTCTGACTTGCTTATATACTGTTATACTTGTTGAAGTGATATGAAAAAAAAACCACTATTGTCTGGTCTGTACAATAGGATGATGTCATAGCATAAGCGGTTTCTAAAGAACGAAGCTGTGGTGTATATCGTTTTCGTTAATGTTGAACAAAATCCGGATATGTCCAGTGATATTAGTGACAAATGAAAAAAACAAACACGTGAATTTTATATGATTATATAAATAAATGTACCTATTGCACCGAAATTTGGAGACTTGAGGAAATCAACTGGCCGTTCTGCTTCATCTTACAATTTCAGAATATCGTTCTTTAGCAACTTTATAGTAAAACGATGTTAGGACTGACTTCAACCGACATCTTCTTGGCGCCTATTGTGGTGCTTTGCTGCTGAAATGTGGTCTTATCGAGTCGATATCATCTGCCTATTATGAATCGGAGTCATGTAAAAGGAGTGTTTGAAACCACTATTACATCAACTAAAGTGAGAAAAATTGCCCATAAAGGTGTTGGGGACGAAATTTTAATACCTTAAACCGAATTTTACACGGACTCATTTTTCTACTTCGATCCCGAAGTTAGATATGATATCTCATTTAACAAATTCCTCGGTTCTTTATACAGCCAACTTGAAACGTGACACGAAGAGAGAGAGTGCATTTCCAATAGAAAGGTGTCGCCTATGAAAAATACCGCGGAAAAAAAGTAGATTACATTTTTGACTGATAAATATTTTGTCAATTACCTACTCCCTAAACAACTAGTATAATTTTCCTTAAACTATCAAAGCGTGACCTACATTGTGAAAATTCCAATACAAAGAATGTATATAAGAATTATAAAAAAATGGACTAAAAGAATAAAATAATAATTTTCTGTTGGCACGCCACTCAAAGTTCATATTAATCGTTTCATCAATTCAACAACCAAATTATAATCTTTTCAACACCATCTGCATTATCTGAAATTTAGAAATTGTGAGGAAAGGAGCCAGCAGCTATAGGTGATGATGGTATTGAATAGCCAGCTATCCTTTAACCATTCATCCTTTTATTTTACTGATAACTGTTTTTTTGTTTGATGCCAAATCTAACGTATGTATCATAAATTTTAACAGTAGAATAAGACGTTTTTTTTACGTGGCTATAGGCTAAGTAACATTTAGGACTGGAAATTATGTATGACACACGAAGTTAATACAACTACATGTCTGGTGCAGGTGTAGTTCTGTGTGCTCAAAATAGACTAAAATGAACGGCATCTACGTCAACTTTTCATAATGTTTTCCAGCAAATTCTTAAAAGCGTTGCACAACCGTTAATTATCATGAAACATTCAAAATGCATGCTTCTTAAATATACATTATTCATTGCGGAATTTTTTAGTTGCCAAATGTTTTTTAAACGTGTTTCTTTAAGTCCGGGAGGGACAGGTCTTAATGCTGTCATTAGTGGTCTATTAAAGAATTCATCATCTTGCTGACGTGCCTAGTGACAATATATATGTGTGTGTTATTGCAATTTTCATCGTCCACGCCCGATGACTCTGCTGCCTCAGTTGACATGTCCACTTCTTTTTTTTTAAAGAACCGTGAGCATAAATGGCATTTTATCGCTTCTCAGTAAATCAGTAAAATTTTGGCTCCTTCGTAATCGGAAGCATTTGCAAGCCAGGTTAGAAATTATACTCTATTGTGTGTATTAAGGCTCTAGTCCAATTTTGAATATAATTTTAATGCATGTTGAATTACCACCGATTTTTCATAACAAATAATGCATATTTCCCATTCTTTAGAATAAATTGAACTTAATCAGTTATCATACCGATGGAAATATTATTTATTCACAACGCCTTGAGCAAAAAAGAATTATTATCTGTCAAGAGAAATAATCCCTTGTAAATTGTGGTTAATGGATTTTAAAGATGTTTTTCTATTCAACAGTGTGTGCTTGTTCGTTATACACGGCGATTGACGACGCTCTAGGCGTAACAAAATAATCACGAGCAATCTGCATGTTTTCCTACAGAAAATAATCCGTTACGAACTATATATTTGTAATCTGTTGGAGTACATTGACAGTGATGTTAAGTCGAAAAAATAGCACCTAGGGCGGTCACCTAAATGTATTAGGTAATAGAATTCTGAAGGAGGGATAATTTTTTTTCGAGTCTGCTATTAATAATCTGTCTGCGTGTTAAAAAGAGACCGCTGATGAAACCTTTGTGTCCCATGTTAACAACGACAAAAAAGAAGATACATTGTTGAAAGGAAAATAAAATAAAACAACAACCCCAATAACTTTACCTTTAAGTGTTCTAAAGCAGTGCTAGGCGTTTGTTTGTGTATCTGATGTGCTATGCCTTTTAATTGAACAAAAATAACCCCGTAGAATGCGATTTACTGTATCCCTTGAATGTAAATATCTTCTGATTTTTTTTCATAATTAACGGTTGTTGACAAATTCTTTGTGAATATGAGTACACAAACGTATGCATAATTGTATTGGTTTATGTTCATGTGCAGTCTACGTATAGACGTATAGATGTAGTTGTAATCCTCTAAGAAAAGGTGATATGCAAAACAAAAACTAATAAAAAGTGGATAATTTTTCCAGATCTTCTACGAGATGTACTTGGTGCTGATGCCGCCTCCTTCTTTTACGAGTACCAAGGAACTATTGGAAAGAACAAGGGGGTTCGCGTCACGGACTACATTAAGCAGCAAGACGCACAGGCCCTCCAGAAAGCCGCGCAGAAAGAACAGCAGGAAGCAGAAAGAGAAACTCACGAAGAGTGGTCGGAGGAAACCAGAATCAGAACTGAGGAAGTCAACCAGAACTTCGCCGCCATTAGAATCGACGGACAGTTGGTCCCGATTCCCCGAAACGTGCGCCAAAGTATCCACGTGGACCGAGAAGAGGAGGAGATACAGGGAGGGGGTATTTTGCTTAACCACGCTGACGGCTCTGGTTATAAAACAGACAGTAGCACGGTGAACTTTGACACTGTCAATGAGTGTGTAGACCTTGGCATCGAAAACGGTGTCGCCCGGGTTGCCGTCAAAGTGACATGCGAGAGGATCGTTCCCGTGAACCCTGTTCAGGATGTCTGGAAGAAGAATGCGGTGATCGTCACCCGTCTGATTGAGTTTGACTTGGAAGCCAACCCCGAGACCCGGCGGATGTATGAGCGCATCATCAATTCCCGAAAAACAAACAAGCGTGAAGTCGCATACATCGACTCACGGGGTAGGGAACACATTGAGACACAAGCTGATAGAACACTAAACGCTAAAGAGACTATGAAGGTTTTCTCTACATTAATGAACGCAGCTGGCGAGAAAAACGAGTTTGAAAGACACAATGTGTTGCTTTCAAGACAAGATAGCAGTGCTTCGGATATCTCGTTTGCGGGCAGCGAAAATAGAACGAACAGGAATGTTTCTTACAGAGACTCCAGAAGAGCTGAGCTACAAGGTGGGTCAAGCAGAAATTTTTCTCATGAAGTTTCCAGAAGATCTGAACAACAGCCTGTTTTAGACAGAAACGTTTCGTATGGTACCGCGAGAGCTGGACAACAGTCTGCTTCAGAGAGCAATTTTTCGTACGGAACCACAGGTAGATCTGAACAAAAGTCTCGTTCAGAGAGCAATTTTTCGTACGGCACCACAGGAAGAACTGAACACCAGTCTCGCTTAGACAGTAATATGTCGTATGGAAACACGGGAAGATCCGAGCAGCAGTCTGGTTCAAGCAGCAGCGGTACCTTCAGTGCTGCGACCTACGGGCGAACCACGCATATGCCCTCAGTACCAAAATTCCCCTCCAATATACATATGGACAATAATTATCCTGTAGTTCAAAAGACTCAGAAAGGGATGGAACTATTGCGTAAATATGGCGGCGGACTTGATAGAAACTCCAGTAGTACAATGAATCGCAACACATCTGAGAAACACAGTATGTCAAGGAGCCATATGTATAGAAGTAGTGATGATCTTTTGTCGTCCAGCTATGGAGAAATGGACCACACAAGGCCAGGCAGCGCCAGTGGTAATTACGCTAGTAGCACGGAGAGACTTTCAGTGAACTATACCAGCGGCGGAAGTGGTGGTGGTGGTGGCGGCGGCGGCGGTGCCCGTTCTGGAAGCGCTATGAGCAACCATTCGGCCCAGTATGGCGGTGGCGGTGGTGATGGTGTCCGATCTAGTAGCGCTATGAGCAGCCATTCGGCCCAATATGGCGGTGGCGGTGGTGATGGTGTCCGTTCTAGTAGCGCTATGAGCAGTCATTCGGTCCAGTATAGCAGTGGAGGCGGCTTCGGCGGCGGCGGCGGCGGCGGAGGAGGAGGAGGAGGTGGCGGCGGTGCCCGTTCTGGTAGCGCTATGAGCAACTATTCAGGCCAGTATGGCGGTTCTAGTCGAGCTTCCAGTCGCATGAGTGGGGACTTTGGCATGACCTCCGGTTTAAGCGGTCAGTCGTATCTCTCTTCCCGGGAAATGTATGGCGATGCCAGTCAGTTTTCGTCCTCACCGCAAGCTGCGGGCGATGGTCTTTATTGAGCTGGCGACTGTAAACTGTAGTTCGGATGACAAAACCGTGGTGACATTTGATATGGAATATGTTTAGTGACATGTCAGTTTTGTTTTAAACGATATAATGAAATTTAGCATGATGTGCACCGTTGGATATTTGGCCTAATACTCAGTATTGTTTCAATTAGGCAATATTAGACGAAAACGTAAAAAGCAACAATCTACACATTTTCCATGTCAAGTGTTATTGCTATACATTTGACTAATTTTTTCCTCAGGTATATTGTCGATCTATTAGTGCCATATTTTATAAACTGCCTCTGTTCTTTAAGTCTCCCAATATACGAAGTCAGATCTATTTAACTCAGATGCAAAACATTAAGATGTGCTGAAAATCTGGAATATGACGGTTTTTATAAACACATGAAAATAATTCTCCATTCAACTTAAACATCTGGAAATTGTATTATTTGATGGATATATTTTTACATTTGAGTGGTATAGGCATATATATCATTAAAATTTTACTTTGTAACCACGAAGAATCAACATTTAATTTACCATATGCCTAGAATCGTTTATATAATTATTAAGAATAATCTGATGTTCGAAAAGGCGGGATATAAATTCCCTTTTAAATTTTGTGAACGAGAAATTTAAGGAACATCGCATGACATAGATGTGAGTTAAAAATGTCATCAGTATTTGAAGGAGAATACAGTGGAACGGATTTAACTGGAGTTATGAAAAGTTAAATTTGGATACAGTTATATTGGATGTATAGATACATGTAATGGCACTGAGAACGAGATGTGGCATTGGAAAACATCTATCATCTTATGCAAGTGTATAACCTGGAAACTCGTGCTGGGCAATATGTAATTTCACGCTGTGCCATATACTCATGCCTGTGTGTGTCTTATTAACTCCTGCTAGATATTTTACAATTTCTCTTTGTGCCATACTCCTATAAATATATAGCGAGCTATTTATGACGTTAGCTGAGCGCAGTTATGCTTTAATTATTTACCAAATATTTCTGCGACACTGGAAGAGTATTGAAATGAACAGAGGGGAGAGCCAACTGTTTGTTTTTCTGAAGTTGGCGTATGGAAACCAAAAAAGTGTTGTCGCCTTTATTTCTGTATCTTTCGTTTAATTTCATATTATTCTATTTATTTGCATGAAACGGCATAATAGTTTGCAACCTTACTCTCTCTGTTATATCTCAAATTTTTCTTGGGACAAAAGTGGCAAAATAAGTTTTGTAATTATTACACAGTGGGTTCAGAAAATTATGGAACTATGTTTGATTAGTTCAATGCTGGTACTCATTTTTTCTGTAATCACGCTTTAAGGTTGAAAAAGTTGAGCGGGACTCTTGGATAGTTAAATTATATTAGCTTTTGCCATATTTAATTGTATTTTGGATTACCACAAGACCATTTGTTATGCATAGTTAAGAATAGTTAAACATGTTAACATTTTTGTACCTATTTATGTCATTTAAGAGATATCTCATCACTAATGATATATAGTGTATCATTAAAATGCATGGTGTTTATATTCTAGTATTTCACATCTTTTTTGGTATACATTACTGCGGTCTGAAGAGTGAACTCAAGTCAAATTCCAGGATCAAATGTTCTGTGTTTTATTAGATTAACAAGTGAATAAAGCCATAAACGTAAAAGACTGTCAGTCTTCTTCTAAGAAAACTCATTGTGGATGTAAGGGAGGGTTGAAAATGTTAAAATAAACCCAAATACATGAATGGCTGGCTTCTATGAGAAAAATCATACAAGGGTAGATCAAAAATGTTTAATAATAAGTATTTATACTTTTCTACTGGGCTTTTGGTAGTAATATAAGAATATGTATACGTTTTCAACGTGATTTACTCAAGCAGATCGTATTTCGTTCGAACTTATGCAATTTAGAAAGAAAGAAAATGAACATAAATAGATATGCACGTGTGAAAAAATCCATATCCAAAGTTTATCTTTAGTTTTTACATTCCCCAAGCTTTAAATTCCCATTTTGGCACTTAGCCTAAGAATCACGTCTTTTCTCGCTGCACTACGCTTACATCTTCTTACAAGACGTTTGAGATGTAAAGCTAAATCTGACGCAAATTACCCATTACGAAGCTCAAATGGGCGCAGAAAGCTTTAAAACCCACTGAAGAATGCAACATACATTTCTAAATTTGCATTTTAACACAGTTTCGTTAAAGACCTCTTTTCATTTGATTCATAACAAGCCACGACAAATTCTTCGTCAGGCGAGTACTTCACAGGAAAGACGTACATGAAGCAAATAATTCTCTCTCAATTAACATCAGATTAAAGTCGGATCCGAGCACATAATGATAAAATTTTCAATTCGATTTGGCTTTGCATACCGACAGTTATTGAAATAAAACATTTTGACAAAAACTGCTTAACACTTTATTATTGCTCAGTTATTTTTCTGCCTATACGGTAGTTCTGTCACAATATTTAATGATGGCGCTTCTCTAAATGGAACACAGTCATGGTTTGTACTCCTTGTTATAACCTTACAATGCACATTAGTTGCAGAAAGGTTGCGCCTACGTGGTGCAACTAATCTCTTCGGCACTTGGAACTTTTAGCAATGTATTACAAAAAGAAAATGAAAAGAAGTACATATGCAAAGTGTGAAAAAAATCCAGATCCAAAGGACAGTGTGCATGTTTAGTATTTACTTTTTCCAAGCTTTAAATTAACATTTTGTCACTTAGCCTAAGCCACCGATCCATGTCTTCTGTTTGTTAAACTGATAATAAGTGCATGTAGGTATGTCTGTTCTCGGAATTCTCAGAATTTTCTCTGACTTACCAATGTATAATGAATTCGTTCCAACATTCAAATTTAGTCCATGCTTTTTTTTTCTAAAAAGTTTGGTTTTTTGTTATAATATCTTAAGAGATTATTACAGAGTATAGCCATCTATGGAGATCATGTGGTCTGTTGGCAAGCACAGATTCCAGAATAATTGCTTATAACTGCTGTTTTGGAGGTAAAAGACAATTTATTTTATTTCTACAAGTTGTTTACTATGTATTTATTGTGAAATATGAATCTCATACAAAGAGTTGTTATGCCTTTAGAGCACTTCTTCGCGCCTGCGTAAGTGTAAGTGTAAAGAAGGCAAAACAGGCTCCAGCGTTTTGTAACTATCACTTAAGTCGGCGACAAGCATTAGACTTAAAACAGAATTCATTTATTCAAATGAAATTATAAATGGGGACACGCTAGCCATTCTGTGTTCCGCCCTCCTCGGGTCGCGTGAGATGAATGTGTTAAAGACTGTTGGAAGACGGCCCATATCACTCATGCTGTAACCTTGGCAAGTTTTAGCGCCGGTCCTGTTCACCTCCGATTTATTGACCTCGGTTTCGTTCCGGTCTAGAATCAGTCTAATGGACTCACATGCCGAATGTTCTTCAAATAGCTTAAACTGATAGATCTTTTATTCACTGAGGCCACCGTCTGATATCCAATAAATTCAATGCAATTATCGCCAGCATACTGCAGACCTGCAATTGCAATTGTCAATTGCAATAAAAAGAAAATTTTCAACGAAGTCTTTGAAATGTACATCCGTTTAACCAGCTCAAAAGCAGTTTTAAACTTTTTCAGCCTCACGTGAACTCGACCAAATACCCAGCGCAATAAGTAGCAAATGATTTATTGCTTGAAAAAAGATGATATTCAAAGCACAAAGCTGGTGAGGATGATGTTGTTTCTTGATGAAAAATAACACGCATGCTACCCCGAAAAGCACCAAAATAATGCCCCATACGAGGTCTGTTTGCCATTACAGCGGACATTTTTAAGTATAAAACACAATATCGATTATGTGTGTGTGTGTGTGTGATTGTGTCCATTCCTTTCCATTCATTTTCTCTTGAAGTAGAACTATCGTCTGGTCATCAAATATTTTGTATGTTGACAAAACATTCATTAAAGAGGCATCCAAAAAAGGCTAGTGTCTTCATTAAAAAGAATTAAATCTGTTTACAAATCTATGGTTGAAATAGAGTATAGTTTGCTGAGATACAGTGTATAGGCCTATACTAAGGTATAGATTGGCACGTGTTTCATGTGAAAAGAAACAATTGATGTAAGTTGATGTAATGCGATGCCTGGTGTAGTTTCTTTTGATATTTCGACAAACGGCTCTTTATGTGTCCTGAATTCAATCACCAAGGTGACAAATACCAAGTGTCAGCATTTACAGCGTTTTAACGTGTTCGACTCACTCTGATGGGCGCTAATGATGTCTGTTTTATGTTAATGCCTCCATTTGTTAAATCGGTCTTTTATACTCCCATAGAATGTGGAAGAGGTATGGCAACAGTATGTGTAGATACCACGTCTCTTCGTATGTTCAGTATGTTCAGTTGATGGTATACGGGTAGAAATTTCCAGAACGCTGTGTCGGGTGGGGGAAGGGGGAGAGAGAGAGAGAGATAGAGAGAGGGAGAAAATCTCTTTTTAGTCTTTAAGTTTAACAACATGAATGCTGTAGCGAAGCTAGATAAATCGCCACCGTTGCACTCGCTACAGGACACAGGTTTTCTTAAAGGACGCATTTTACAGTTTGATAGTTCAAGTTGCCGGCGACAGGATGATCACGATGCAATTTTTTGCTAACTTATTAATTAGAAATTTCCCATTGATTAAAAATGCGCTGGATAAAAGTATAACCAAGGTATGTTTTATTTAATAAAATATTTTCCCAGTTACAGCACTGTCAACACTTCTCTTTTTTTGCATAACTTATACCTTTCTGGCACATGATAGCGGATTCTCATCGTTTTTCATAAACCATAGTTCTAAGTTTAACTGTGTTGATACGAAGTGTAGAATTCAGAATAAACTTTAAAATAAGAAAAATAATGTTGGATACCGATGAGTTAGATAAATCCAAATGAATGTCATTTATCCAACACATTTGACAAAAGTGAAGATGTATAGCACTTTACACGAAGAAAAGCTTCAGTCAGCGATAAGACACTTGCTTGGGGCACAGCGACCACACGTCAGTAGTCTAACAAGAAGGATGATACAACAAGCGGTTGGGCGTGTCTGAGGCCCATGGACTAGCCTGAAAGCTAATCTGGTTCTTGGTGGACCTGAAAATAATTAACTAGAATAAATTTTGATACATAAACATTCAAGATGAAAGATATACGTTCATTTCCATTTAAGATGAAAGATTTACTTTAAACGAGTTAGCGCAGTATACGGGCGCATGTTCGTGAGCGCGCGTTAGTGTCATTTAGCGCTTTCACGCCCTTTTACCCATTCAAATACAAATGTACGTTTCCTCATTTTACCACAATGTGTTTGATTTGCTTCAGTTAATCCAAAATGTGTCATAAAACGCCATACTTACATGTCAATGAGCCATTGTCTTACATCTTCAAAGCCTGGCAGGTCAACCTGCTTACTCAGGTACTCCGCTATAACCCCCGACTAGAACAGTATATATATATATATATATATTAATGAACAATGCACATCTTCTGGAAATCAATCTTATTTTCTATATAAATGTGTCGTGGAGGAGTTAACAAAACAATTCAATTATTTCAAGGTCAGCTTTAGAAATCAGATGTTTAACAGGTGTATTTCTGTAAATTACCAAAATGCTCTTTTAACTTACCGTGAGAGCGGTGGAGAACGACGTTCCTAAAAACAAGAATCACATTTCAGTCTTAAGGGAATGCATTCAATATGTACACGTTTCATGAATACTAATAATTTATAACGTGTTTTCCCATTGTAAAAGTGGACCAAAGGGTGATCTTGACTTCTCTTTTTCTAAAAGATCCGTTTGAAAAAAAAAAAAAAGTTGCCTCTGCAGTTATTATAAACCAAAGACTCATGGTGAAAAAAAAAAAACAGAATCTGTTCTGTGATCAAGGCATAGAAATGTGTTATCCAATGTGCACTACCTACCAGTATAACCGCTGTAATATCCACTGTTTTGCGTTGACTTAAAACCACGTATACTGGAGCCCTGGAACGGAATGAAAACGCCATTATTCTGATCCTGTGTAATTATTTCATTTCCAAAATCTCCAACCAGTGTACCAAGTTTTACTTTAAGTGCATGTAGTAAAAAGGCATTCACAGGCTTCAAGTTTCTTTTATACCATCTTTTATACCAGATCAGACAAAAATGTTCTTTTCTATATCATTTGTTGATCAGCAACAATTGTCACAATTTTTTTCTTTTTTTAATCATTTAAACATATTTGGCGTATTATTTACAGTGTAACTCACCGGTGCCAAGATGTCAACACAAGGACCATAATTCGTATTTTCACAAAAGTCATCATTACGCCCAGAGCAACCGACAGATATTCTAAAAAGAAAAGCTGATAAAAGTTCACACTAGCTCACTGTCTAATATTCAGAATCATTGAGCAACAAAGAAATCGTTACATCGATAAACATGCCGTGTAACCTACATTACAATTTACTCCCGGGCTTTATGGATTTGTTTGATTCTGAATCGTTCTTACTTCCCAAGAGAGCAAACAGACTGCCTACCTAACACAAATATCTCATCTTCTTCCTTTATACATACCTGTCAAAGATCTATGCAAAGAAAGCACCGGTGTAACGAAACTGAGGGTCAGTGTATCAGAAAGTCCGCCTTCCATTTAGTTATAATGGTTAGGGTTAGCCTGACCTCAGTGGGTCAAAATCGAAGGCGAGGCTTACCTGTACAAATGAATGGGAAGCGGACTCTCTATCATGGAGGACTCTGTGTCAAGTGCCATCGGCCAAATAAAGACTTAAGTTAAGATATTGATAAAGCAGCGACTGCAATTCATTAAAAAGATTTACTCACGAATAGTTGGAGCCTGCAGGATAAATGTCGCAAGCAGAGACGTTGTTGTTCCCGGCGGCTGCCACTGGGATAGCTTTCTGTGTATACAGATAATGATTGAATTAACCCTTTTTTGGGAAATAAATCAGTACGTTTGGCTAAAAATGCATAAAAGTAACTGTAAAAATAACATAGCGCGCAACCAGAGTAAAAGAATAATCAATGACAGTTTATTCCTAAAATGTCAAATTATTTTTCTTTTTTGCATAATTAATTCCAAATCAATTTTAAAATGCATGATGTTGTTTTGAAGTAAGCTTAAGAAGTGAGTTCTGTACTTACGAATTTCTCGACGAATTTCTGCATTTCGTCACTGATTGCAATCGAATACTCATTTGTTGTTACGGATAAGCTGAAAATTCATATACATGTAAGTATAAGTAAATGTAATACTGAAAATTCATAAAACAATTCTCATTTAAATAGGTCCTGTCAATAGTGAAAGGTAAAACTAGCAACATATTCTCAAAAACAAAAATAGATAAATAAAAATGAAAAAATATATATATAAAGAAAGAAAAGAAAAATAAGAAACTAACTCTTACTTGATTACTGATTTAGATCCGTGGGTGGAATCTGCACCTTCGCCCGTCAGTCTACTAGCTATGTAATCTAGCCCACAGAGTAGAGTGCTGAAATACCAAATAAACAAAACACGGCACAGTTGAGCTAATTGATAGAGGTGGACCTCAATACACGAACTTTTTTCTTTTTTCTTTTCACATAGAAAGAAAATTAATATATGCTCGTCGATATTTAGTTTCTTACTTAATTATAAATTATCAGAGAACTAAAACTGTAGGGGTGATAGGGGTGATTTAATGGTGATATTACTAGATGTCTCCGGATCCATTTTCGTCTAGAATCTTCACTGCATTCAAAATGCTGCCCTTGCTAACAGAAGCTATCAGTCCTGAATCACAAAAAAGAACCACTTAGAAAATCAATCTTAGTTCATATGCAACAGTTGGACTTATATAAATATTGTTTGTATGCTATTTTTTAATCTGTCTCTGTCTCTCTCTCTCTTTCTCTCTCTGTGTGTGTGTGTGTGTGTGTGTGCTACTGTGTGCCGTGTGTTATGAGCAGAGTCTTACCTGCTACTATAGAACCGTGTCCATGAGTATCAGGAACGTGCCACGTGTTCACATTGCCATCCACGCAGTTGTGCGCCTAAAATAATCCAAATCAATTCTATGTTACTCTTTTTCAATCAATAAATAGAAAAAAAAATGAATACATGAATGGTTCAAGGAAGAAATATGGAAGTAAAGACATATTTTGCCTGACTACTACGGCAAAACTTAACAAATTTTTATCATAAAGGGCCCTTCGTGTTTTATACTGAAGAATATCCCGTGACACAGGGTCCACTTCTCAAAGCTACTTGGTCCTGTCCTTGCACAGCTACTTGGTCCTGTCCTAAATTTTGACCCTGTTTCGTTACACTAACACTAACACTTACCCTAACCAGTACGACTCTAATGGAGGGCAGGCTCTCTTTTACAAGGACCCTCAGTTTCTTTACACCGGTGTGACAGGAATGGCTGTCCACTAGGAACAGTAGTCCGTTCCCTGTTATTTTGTACAGGTGACATTCGTCCCATGAACGAACCCCAATACTCTAACTAACACTAATGTGTACTAGAGTGTATTCATATAGGACCCTGGACGTCCTTTACTGGGACTACCATTCCTAACGCCTGACTTCGATTCCTACATGTAGGACTTCTATGCTTTCTACACTTAAGGTCTTTTAGCTATTACAAAATTCCAGATAGCTACATGCAATTTCGTAACACGTAGAAAACCTCTGGTAGAGAATAGGTCTACCTTTTTCATTTCTATACTATACTTTCTATACTATAACGTGACAAGACAATAGATTAAATCTGACACTAGAATGATCAATCCTTCACTCACCCATTTCACTCTGTTTTGAAAACCCCTGTGGTCTCGATTTATCCCACTTTACAGTAAATTGGGAAAGAGAAAAAAGTTATATTATCAATCAGAAAACCACAAACATGTACTTAATCGCTTCATTGAATTTTCTACCGTTAATCCCTACTCATTTCATTTTAAAATCTAACACGTGTGGAAAAGTGGCATGTAATCCATCTAAAATTATTACTATATATATATATATATATAGAATGTATATCTTAACATGTATATTTAAAAAAGACAACTTACGTATCCAGAACAAAAACGTCCACTGGTGACCTGAATTCTGTTGAAGATAACGAAAAAATTAAAGGCGACACTCAATCAGATCAAATCAATATATGTATTGTAGTATTTTAACATGTAATAAGCATATACAGTAGATACTTGACGGTTACATGTCAAACTAATCTCAACATCTCACGCACGCACGCACACACACTCAAAGAATTCCCAATAATTCTGACCCTGTTCAGTTCAGAAATGTCTTTTATCAATTCATAAACATGAACGGAATGATACTTTTACAAAAATAAATAAATAAATAAAATAAATAAATAAATAAATAAAATAAGAATGAAGCTGGTTTTTAATTAACAAAGCATGATCGTGTTTTAAACACTAACAATCCATTTGTTGCAAAGAAGAAATCACAGATCACGAGGGTTGCAATGATAGGTAGAGACAAACTCAGAGAATGAATTCCATTTGCAATAGACCAAAATTCGACAATCGATTTGTGGAATGCCTTTTGGTATACTGTAGTTGTGTAGGTGTGGTTGACCTCATGCATGTAAGGAAGAACATAAAAACGAAAATCTAAATGTTTTTTTCTGCTCCAAGAATTCATTCTCTTCTGTTTCTGATTAATTAAAATTATTTTGAGATGGCCCTCTGGATAGAATGGCGTTTACAAGTGGCCAAAATGATAAAATTATCAATTAATGAATAAGAAAAAAGCCATACCTTCTGTTCTAAACGTGCTATCTAATTTTCCATCCCTTTGATCAATGCGGTCTAAGAACTAGATTAAAATCGAATATAAATAACGTTGTAGAGTTTAGATAACGTTTTTAAAATATATTTAAATTATGTATCCTCGGTACATGATTTGATTCAGCGGAGGTTCAATATGTGACGATTGTCAGAAACGGATAAACGGATATCTCTTAGATATTGGAATATGCACTCTATAGCAAACAATTGGCATGCTTAATTTTGTTAGATTTATTAAATACATTGATGTCAATTTACATGAGCACAAGTTGTAAAAATTGAGGAAAATGTATTGCATGTCGTACTTACCCAGTCAAACTCATTACGATTTATTTCAGTTCCAGCAGCTTGAACCTTTAAATTGGGCTCGATGTAGTCGATGTCGTCTCCATAATCTGCCAAACTCCTCAGGATGCTGGGAAATGATATTTGTATAATAGTAATAACGATTTTCGATAAAATGTACTTCCAAGTATGTAAAACAAGCAAAATAAATAATTCAGAATTAACAGATCATAAAAAGTAAAAGCACACTTCATCGAAAAAGATATGATGTCCAATTTCGTCGAGTAAGGTCCTTTTCCAAGCCATTGTTTAATGTGACCACTGTTAGTTTGATTATCACGTTTGTTTGATAGTCACGTTCTTGGCTGAACAACATATACCATAATAAATAATTTCATTCTTACATGACCAACGTGACATGTGTTTTATTTACCTTTTAATTCTCCCTTTATTCAAAACTTTCAGTTTGTAGTAACTTCTTCCAGGGAGATTATACACGGGACTATCAACGTCAATATCGGAGACGCCAAGTGTATTCTTAACTACCTGCTTGTGGCTTTTAACTAAATTCAAGTGAGAACGGAAGAAAGATGATAATTGGTGTTTTATACCCATTTCAATTTAGAATCATTGTATTAATTGTTGATATCAAATGCATGTTAAAATTGAAGTTCTCGAATTATGTAACATATTTATTCATTTTTTGTATGTTGTTACGTTTCTCTATTAGCTCATAAACAAAAAGTCAGAATCTTACTATGTAGACTACAGCCAATGATAAGACAGGGGAAGTAAAATGAATACCTTGGGCCTTATCCTTGCCTTTCTTCATGGCAACAATGTATTCTCCTTCTATGGCATTCTTGGGGTTTTTGGCCTCTCTGATTTTTGCCTGTCCCGGCGGGGTTTTCTTTACAAACCCCATGTCAAGCTTCACAGCTACAATATTACAATTATTGCTTTGGTTAAAAAATAAATAAATAGATACATATGTGTGTAATAAAATATTCACTCATTTAAGACATTGAATCATTGATACATACAAAAGGCATGAAAAGGCATGCAATGTTTACTTGGAAATTGATAATGCCAAATGTGAAATGCCAATTGTGCGGAAGTCGGTATATGGACATGTAGATGGATATTGGGTTATGTGGTTTGTATTTTAGGCGTTTATCCTACTGTTTTATTTGGTGTTCTTGTGGGTACGCGAAAAGTTCCTGTTAGAATTTAGTGTTCTGAAACACATTAGCTGATCACGACTTCACCATTCTTTTTATCTCGATTACTGGTACTTTCACAATGGCTCTAACCTTAATAGTGCGTGTGGTTTGATTGATGGAATTAATGTCTATTTGTCAGTGAATTATCCTTAATGTGGAACTGGATACTTGTAATTCAATTAAAAGAAGTTGAATAACAATGTGGTTTCACACTTCGACCAACTCGCTGCATTAACTTGTATTTTACTCATTTTTGTACCCATTACTATTGTTTTCAGAAGTTATTCTGTTGATGATAACAAATAAATAGATTTACACATCTTACGGTCTCTCTAACTACTGACAGCTTTACCATTTTGACAGCACGATTTCATAATTTTTACGGCTGTTTCCCCACTTCTTGTTCCCACACTTTCCATTTTCCACACAACGCAACCGATGTGTGTCTCCACACATGAAGTACTTTTAAGTACTTAAAAGAGTTTTAATTTTTTATCAGATAGAAAGCGTGACAATATAAACAATAAAACCAAACACTATTGTATGGAATAATGTGCATGCGTTGGTTGTTAAATGCATATATATCGTAATACGAAATCTCTCTCCGAGAATATTTAAGTCAGAAATCGCAATAGGTCAACAGAAATTCAGAGGTTTATCTAGAGCGCGTGCTTCAGTTTAAGTGTTTTCAGAAGAGTGGAGAGTGATGTTTACGTTGGTATTTTATTTTTAAAATACACACTCAAAAAATGCGTCACAAAAGTGTATTTCTGGTCTTCAGTTTGCTTGCATTATCATTAACATATAATGTTGTACTTCAGAATTGCGCTAGGTGAAAGAAGTCGCCTGTAACCACTAAATGCATTCGGAACACATTTTGCATGTAATAAAATCCTGGCATAATTATCAGCAACACTTAAATAAACTGCCATAAAAACAACACGTTCACGTATCATCGAATCATCACGTACCTTCCGATAGTGCCAATGAGCAAATCAAGCCGATCACAGCTAACCTGCAAATAGATCAGTTTTATCCTACATTATTGTACAACACTGTTTGAGAGAGAGATGGGGGGAAGGAGAGAGAGAGAGAGAGAGAGAAAGGGGGAGGGGGGCGAAGATGGCCCCAGTATACAGAATTGGAAATATAATTCTTACAAATGTACGTACGTCCTATCAAAAATGGACCTTATTAATATGCTCTCCTAATGCAATGCATCTGCACAACAAGGAGAAAGAGCTTCTTATATTTGGCGCCTCTTACCTCATCATGTTGGTTTGTCGAAATCCTGCTGCCGTCTTTTTCTGGTGACTTGTTGTGGCTATTTCCTTCACCCGTGTGCCGCCAAAACGTAAAATGTGTACAAGTGCACGCTAGAGCGCCCTTTTATAACACTTCCTACTGCCAGCGTCACGCGTGCTGCCATTAGCCGTGTTTTATTTCGAACGAAATTCAAGAACCGTGACGAACATTAAAAACGCGCTTCACGAAGATCTTGTGGTTTCAAATGAATTATTTGCAAAGACATCAGTGGCCGTGGTTAACGTTTTATTTTAATTCAGAGCGAATTCGTTAAAATATTTACATCGATTTTAAACAACTTTGAGGAAAATGCTCCTCGATGAATTCACAATTTCGTGTTTGAGACTGGCATTCATTAAAGTTTTTGTACTAAATGGGTAGTGAGAAAACGAGTTTAATAAATGCAGAGCTATGTGTTTCTAAATCGAAAATGAGAAGAAAAAATTGTGTTTAGCGTTTTTATGTATGGTGATGGTAAAGCTGCCATAAGACTAACCCAGTAATTGAGGAATTACACGTTATCATTTCAACGTAAACAGCAATTATTTCTTAAGTAGATTAAACATTGCATTAAAGGGTTGTGGCATCATTTAATCTTTAAAATCGTGTCTACTTTTACACTAAAGAGGAAACAAAAATAAGACAGATCCCAGGTAATTAAAAATGTGGTTCCATAAGAATGCTACGCCTTTCACTTAAACATACATTTCCTAGTTTGCCATTTGCCTTTAGTTTGTGTTGATCTCTGTGACAAACAATGTGCTTTATTTTGCCATAAGTCCATATTTGTCAAGCCATGCACTGGGCAAAACAGTGGTCAGTATTCACTTAACTTTTGATGTTTTTAACTCGATTTTATTCAAACGAGGTTTGAACAATCTGGATTTGTTAAGTCGGTGATTTTAAAAATAGCTTATTAATGCATATTTGAACAGCTACTGAAGTTTATAATCATCTAATTTTCTCATAGTTCCTTCGATGATATTGATGTTTCAGTTAAGTTTGTTAGTATTAGAGAAAATGTTATCGATAGCATTTTGATCAACTCAGAAAGTCCGTTGACCCGCATTCAGAGTATCTGTACCAATACATACTAATTTCACTAAACAATGAAGTCCATACGTGTTTTTCCGATTTTGGTCTTTAATATAATCGTCTTAATTACAAATCATTTGATTGAACGGACAGATGAAACGCTTAAGCTACATTTGAGGCATTTGAGGTTCTATTTGCAAGGTTTTATCGGAAGACACTTTAAACTTCAACTTAATACGTGACAGGGACTCTCCTTAATCACTTCCTCATTGGGGTTAACGCGTGAAAATGGACATTTAATGTTGTCTGCAGTGCATAGAATCTTAAATATATGTTTATCATTTTGAATTTTTCTCTCGTTTGAGGACTACCTAAAATCCATTAAAAGAAATTGTCCAAAATTAGTCATTCTTATGGTCATATTGAGATACCTTGTCATACCGCACATATCCTAAATAGTGAGATGAAAGACAACGTGAGTTTTCTTTATTCGCATTATTCTAAAACAAACGGTAATACACCTCTTAAAGTAGGAGTAAAACTAAAGACAGCGTTGAATCTCGAGGGAGCAAAAAAAAAAAAAGAGTCGTTATATTTCGTTCATGCTCTGCATTTTCCTTTTATTTGCCAGTTATGTATTAATTATTTTATATAAGTTGGTCCATCATTTGACACTATATGATTTCCAGAATTAGAGAAATCCGCTTTCTTAACCTTTTTCCCTCACAGGCCCCAGATCTATTAAAAGTCACTAATTATGGTTTCGCTATTGGCTTCCTCCCAGGCTGAGGAAAAGCGCTAATAATAATAATAATAATAATAATAATAATAATAATAATAATAATAATCTACAAAGTCACTATCAGGGCTTGAGTCTATTATATATATATTCAGTAGTACGATTAGTTGAAAGTAATATCTTAAAAGTGAGCATTTGAAAATATTGACTTCTTTGATAAAAATGAGCCCCAAACAGCAAGGCAGCTCTTACTGTACATGTAGCACATGTATGGCGCTCCCCTCTTTGCCGTTTTACATTTCATTGTAGACAAAAGCATCAATGATTGCTCTCAGACAGTAAATATGAATAAGAATTTCGCTTTTATGCCCCATTATTGAATATCATGGCATTTATTTTCAGTTACTGCAAATTTTATCATGGGCGTAATGTTCGCCATGGCATCTAGGTTTTTTAGCTATTCCTTATGAATAATTTGGTAATTTTGTTTCTTTTTATGACATTCACATGGCCCAACGGACCAATATTAGTGCACACATTAACTTTGAAGTGAAAAACTCCGTTTATGATATTTTACTTTTTAAATTTCTTTGTCATTTTTACAAGTTGCAAAAAATCAGCAGTTCATGTATTTAAATCAGATGTTGAATTTTGATAACAAAGCATTTATCTATTTTCTTTTTTTTTCTAAACCTTTAAGCCTTTTGTCTTCTTTATCAAATCTCTCACATATTCTTAGTATAGAAATACCTTACTTTGTAAGTAAAGAGGGCGCTCTTGTCCTTCTTTAACCAAATGAAGATATCACTACGCTGAACGAACGAATGAACCACGTCAAAATCCCACGCTGGCATTTGTCAAAGCAAGTTCACTATTCATGTGAAACATTCAGATCGGAGAGAGAAAAAATCTGGTTTTGATTCAAACAATCCTCAATCTAAAGATCGTCAAATTTGTTTGTGTACTGGTATTGGTGTCGCAGCTATAGGTCTGTAATCTACGGATGTGAGTTCTCGTCTGCCAGAGACCGAAGGGACATTCGGAACCGGCTTTACTTTCGTGTCACTGAGCTCTTATTCAGTACATGCAGGGCATACATTGGAAATGTTGGCTCGATTGTAAGGCTCTGGTTATTCCAAGCCAAAACCTCTTGCAGGAAAACGTCATTTTTAGTACGTTGGACCAACAGGTCAACTCAACACCGTGTATTTTGTATGTTCAGCATCAATTTATTGGCCTTCTCTATAACATGAAAATACTTTTTAGTATAGTTTTTTTATAGAAATCTTTTCAAATCAATTTCATACGTAAACCAGAATGACAAGACATTTTAAGGTGACGTAATAAATGAACATATGAAACATTTTCGCCTCTCTTCAACAGAGGAAAACTTATCAGAAAAAGGAGCATTTGGATATAACAAGCATTTTATGTATACAAGCAATTTCATAGAGGTCATTTAGATAAGGTTTACATAAAAGATCTTTCCATCATTTCTTTAAAAAACGAGTAGGGGTCAGAAAATCGGAACCCATGTAATAAAGGAGAACTTGAGAACTAACATCCTGGTAAGACCAGACAAATATAAGTAGCTATATACAAAAGAATCTTCACAAATCTATAACATCCTCAACTACTGATGTCGCCAGTCTATGAACTCAATAAACACGGCTACGTTCAACCACCCAGCACTCTATTTTTTCTATTGTGTAAGCCTTTGTATCAGGTTTACTGCTTGAAGTATCGCTAAATGAAGCAATTAATTAATTAAAGGAAATGTTTAAGTGTATGACATTGAGTGAGCAATGAGTGTAATGGTGAAATTATGCAGTTCGCAGATTGTGATTAATATTACTATGAATCATACCCATAACGGTCGTTTTATCGCCTACGAATATATGAACAAGGGGATAAAATTGTTCTTTTTCTCGTGGTAATATATTTGATTGAGGCTGCCTGCGAGAACTAAATAGTTGAAACACTGATGCATACTTAAAAACGGAGACACTAAGAAGCAGTCTGAAAACATCATAAACATATGTCAACCACGTTGTAACTTTTGAAACATAACTCCAAAGCATGGAAGTAATGTTCACAAAATCATAAAAAAACTCCAAAGCATGGAAATAATGTTCATGAAAACAAATTATAAAATTAAATTTTACAGTATATAAATAACCCTAACATTTTTTCGTCAAGTACATTGCTTTATATATTCAGATTTAACCAAAAATATACAACATAATTTTAAAAGTCAAATATTATTATTTTGCATTGGAAACTCTTCCATGGCTGCAGCGTTTTTTATTAATGAAATGGTGTTGTGCAATACTGCTAACAAACAATATGTATAACTTTAAGGTAAACAATGAAAGCAAATGAATTTTTAAAAAAGAGTTTGATAAGATTTTAAAAACAACATTTACTCTTAATTAATAAAGATGAGGCAGATGAAAATTCAATTTCGTGATCAGAGTCGTTTTCTCCCATCTCCGATGTATCCCTGGACAAAAAATACGATGAAAAACACCGTAGATTCTCCCCAAGGGATTGAAGAAAACGATACTGTTTAGTAATCAACACTAGTAGAGTTCGGTTTCAGGGTCGCTTTGTAAAGAACATCTGGACTAAAGAGAAAACACGCGGTGCCCCATAAATCTTACTTTGACTTAACTCAATTGTTGGGCCCTATTACACACGGGTTCGCACCTTTTTTATTTGAAAAGTAACAAGCTTTTGCCCAGTAGTTACCTTCCCGATTCAATTTTAAATCAAAATACGTATTTAACTCCAAGACGTGCGACCTACCGATCTGTTGAGTTTGGTTAAGTGACGTGTTAACGACTTGAAAAGCTTTATCTGTTTCCTCAATCTAGTTAGCGTGATTGGAATTTTATTGCTGTCACATATCATAGACTGACGTTTTTCTTGTACTTTATCCTATTCTAGTACAAATTTAATTTGTGAATTAATTTTTGGTAGAGAACATTAAAAGGTTGTTTGAGGAGATACATTTATGGAGACAATCATTTATTCAATATTTAAATGAATTGAACCTACCACGGTTCGATTGATATTTTGTGTGCCAGATCTACGCTTCAGAATCTTCTGCATTTTATTTCAGTTAGTTAAATAATTTAATTGTTTAATAATACTATAAAACAAATGAATGAGGTTACAAAAAAGTGTAAACGTCGATTGATTTACATGTAGACGTTCTTCAATATTGATACGGATATTTAAAAGTACTCGTATCTGCAAACAATTTTCCAATCAGATTATAATCCACGTTTAATTTCTTTTTTTTTTATTTCATGTACGAATGAAGGTTTAATCCCATCGATTACATTCATATTATTCTGATTGAATGTAAATCCCCTATCTCTTTCATTAGAGTATTTATTTATCACACGGTTTATTTAACTGAATTACATAACAAACAATTTAAAAAGAGTTTGTAACTATATCCAACAAATCATTATCAGATAACATAGAATTATTTCTCGATGAAGAAAACATTAATGACGCTCGTAGAATAATTTGATTGTAAAAGAAAACTTTTCCCAGAGAACAGCCAAGCGATTTTCCTGAGAAGCAACCCTTAAGGATATTTTAATCCCGCCACGAAGGCGCGTACACTACAATTAACGTGACTTTGCCAGATTAGATAACTATCCAAAAAGTCGTAAACGCACGCAGGGCACGTCTTGAACGCTAAAACTTTAAATGGATATGACAGTAATAATGCTAGAATCATTTTGTATGACCCACATATATTGCTAATTATATTTCCTTCGCACAATTGAGTGGCCTAACGCGTGTTAGTATTGGCTTACGCTTGACCAACTACGAATTGTACAAATTAAAGAGAATTCAAATATCTTTTTACTTGATTCCTCCAGCGTAGATGTCTTAACTAATGTTCATCAAAATGTTCAATCGCAGTCATAATCGCTACAATTACAACCATGACGCGTGCGCAGCGCGAGGCCCACACGTTTTCTGATACTTGATTCTTTATTAGTCCATTGCGTCTCTTAATACAATAATTATTTACGGCCAGTTTAAACGCACGTGCCACGTGGTGCAGCGCATGCAGTAGCGTGTGTCGGGTTTGTCTTCCCTTAATTTATCAGTCTGAACAAATGTCTTCGACTAGAGTACTCCATATTAGTTGAATAGCGTACTTTCTGACGCAAATCGCTCTTACAATAATGGGGACCTCGTGCGTTTGAAATAATGATTATTGTTTTTATTAGTGGAAGTGTGTTTTCTTAGTTATTACTGGGGATTCATGTCTTGATTAAACACGTGTCCAAATATAAATATATGTATGTTGAGAAAAGAATGTTTAAAATTCTATATACATTTTTATTAGCAGAAAACGAGTTCTACATTAATCATATCACATTATTTCGTATCAAACATATATATTTATAAATGTATATATGTATGCGTGTTTCATGCACTTCTTTCCTCTTTTCAACATAAATGATTTATTTACGTCAAGGGGTTTTATCAGTCGGCATGGACCAAGCTCTGGAACAAATGATAGATCTTTTATTGACAGTAACAGCGTCGTTATAACTACGACATAAAACCGTTCGGAGATCCATAATCATCAAAAAGGGGTGAAAACACATAAAAGTGGCTCCAGTAATTTCATCCAGATGTAACATACTCTAATGGCAGCCCTGCTGTATATTTCATATGTCTATTTCTCGCTTATGGTCGAACCATTCTGCATTTGCCCATGCATCCTCATGCGTGCACAGTAAACACAGCCATATCTGTACGGAGGAAGATGTCGATGCTAATCTAATAGAGATGATGAATAAAAGGCAGGCTAATCCTCGCAGGGATCAGACCTTTTCCTGATTAACTTTTTTTTAGCTAATGTATCCGATGTATACTTTTGGTGGAATTTCTCAAATGAAAAAAGAATGAAGGAAGGTGCCACGTTTGTGCTGGGCGTTTATTTCTCTTGACGCAACGATTAGAATTTACCCACGTCTTCTTCATCTTATCCGATATCTCTGTTAAATGAAACAGGGAATGCATATTATTTATTTTTAAGTGTAATCATTGTGGTTTTGTTATTCCAATTACTTTCCAATTTCCAGAAAAAATAATAACACTAACAACACAACTGCATTACTGATGATGAAATATTGAAAGCTGCTCCCCTATTCTTCGTTTTTTTCCCCTTTTTATCATTCCAGGTGTAACACTGCTTACACTGTTTGCGCCCCCAGTGGCACCCACTGCGTTAGGACTCCAAAAGAGTTTGTCACTTGACTTAAATCAAAACAATATTTGTTCCTCCTCCCCTCTGAGGAGACTTCCAACCCCCATCCCCCCTTTCGAAAATGATGATCGCAACAGCCGAGAGTTCTTAAAAGGCATCCCGTAAGAGAATTTGACCAGGATTGTCATAGATCAATAGCTGATGTACAGGGATTTACTTATATATCCCCGCTATCTCTAGACTTGTAACACATCCGTAATTACAGTTTTGATGTAGAGAAATTTACCAAAACTGATCCCCATCAAGCAGTGGCGATCAGTCGTACAAGTCCTCTGGGGGATACATTCAATTCCAGCTAAGTGTTCTTTTGTCACATGATGACGCTTTAATTTGCGCATTGCTGTTCAGTTAAAACGTTGCACTCTCCAATCGATGTAGCTAGCACAGATGAGCAACGGTTGCCAATCGTTCCCGGTTCGCAAATTCAATTTGCCATGATCTGTAATTACTCAGTAACCCGCGAGCTCAGACAAAACGTTGGAATCGGGGGATAACCAATCCCCAGGACGCGCCATTTGATTAATTAATCCTGATCGAGCTTCGGGCGATGTGGAAAAATGGCGATTTTTCAAACGTGCCAAAACTGCGCTATTGTGTGCAGATAATACAATTAAGTGCCTCATGAATAATTATCGGGGAAATTATTACCAATCGCAACAATTCCGAAAAGTTGAGAAGTTAAAGAAAAGCAAGACTCTATGGCGTTGTGATTCCACTCGTTCGTTTTGCGCATATGCGGTAGTAAGGAGACGCTCCAGCTTCTGCGTCCATAACGTTTGGTAAAATCCCCACCGCTTCTCTTCTCATATATCAGAGTATTTATAAAGAGCGACTTGGCTACCGCGGGCGTGGTGGTCGTGGTAGAGACTCATCCTCTTAGATACTAAACAGGTATACACTACGGCTTCAAGCTGTATCATTCAGGCATGGATTACCCTTATCTCAACCAGACGGGTTTTGACACAAGTTGTTCGATCCCCGGAATGGAACCTTCCCTGGCAAATTGCAACCTGTCTGCGTCGCCGTACGGGGACCTGGGCGCGTGTGCGGGACAGGTGTCCCAAGCCTACCGATACAACCCGGTGAGGAGTCCGTTCTCCAGTACGCCGACGACGATGATCAGCGGTCCCGGTAGCTGTGGTATGATGCCTCCTAGACCCAGAGAACACCCTAGTCCAAATGTTTTCTCTCCTGGTAAGCAAACTCAGTTTTCCGACCATTTAAAGCCATAAATCAGTAAATTTACGGGTAAAATAAGATTTGGTCGGGGGAAATTGTTTTAGCATTTGTTAACTCGGTTAATCCTGACTACGTAAAAGCCATTATGAGTTGGAATTTGATTACCCAACGTTTGGGCAGGCCTTTGCATAATTTTTCAACTGAGCTGAAACTGGTCTATATTTATCGAAGTGTCCAAACTTGATAAAAACTGTTGAAATTTTGTGGGAATGAAATCAAAGGCGCTTTAATGTCGTTTTCTCTCAGAATAAATTCTAGCTCATGGGCGGTAAATTTATCGGTTTGTTGCTTTATTGTTTTAGCCTAATATGATTTACTTGGGTGAAATCGAACTTAACATTGATGAGCATTCTTAACATGGTAAAGGGAATATCGCGCAGTCCGTCAATTGAATCAGAAAGCTCCCGCGTTTAGCAGTATGTAGACACACCAAAATTCAGTTAGCTACCCTGATATTTGTTCTAGTCACGACTTTACTTAATTTCATACGAATATCATAAGAATAAAAGAATTTGCGAAGCGTTTATTCAATTTCCCATAGATTCTGCCTCTTTGGTTCTGTCGTTTTTCGTTTGAGTTTTATTCGGTGTGACTGCATATGATAATATTAGTTGGCTTGGATAGAGCGGGATGTATTCTTTTGTGATGGATTGAATAATTATTGAATGTGATTGCCTTCTGATAGGGGAACAATATGATAACGGTGAAATAGATCCAACAAATCTGCGAACTGATTTAAGGCATCTAACCGATGTTATTTATTTCTATCTTGATTTTTTCATTTTTTGATTTTATCGGATTTTGACAGAATTGTATTAATTTGATAAAAAAGTAAAAAAAAAAAATCGGAACTGGTTGGTTATTTCATAACATCAAAAAAGTAGCTTTATGTTATATAGGTTAGTAGTGTTCAGTAAATTAAAGCTTAATGTATTTTAATACATTACAAAATCTTTGTTTGATTTCACTTATATAAATTCTTATTATTTCTGAAATGGGCAGCATATAAATTTGAGAAGTTTTATTTTCATTTACTGGTGATCATGGGAAAGTACGACAGTGTGATATACATGTAGTCATGAACCACTAGCTTTACTGATGAAACATAAAATCAATTACACACAAAAATTTTCATAGTGAGACAATCGCAAAAAGAAATTCGTACCTACAATTAGATTCAAATTCAAAATGATAATATTCGAATATTCAAATAGCCAATGAATCAAATTGCCAATCTGAGCTGATTATTGTAAACAATTTTCATGTTTCAAATTCAAAGTAAATTTTATGAGATATACAATCCATATAACAGATATCCATTTTCTCATTTCCACAAATAAATAAATAAATAAATAAATAAATAAATAAATAAATAAATAAATAAATAACTTGCATGCGGAAATATCATTTCTATCCATAATTTGTCTAAACTGTAGGGTTACTCTGCACACAATATAATAAGTAATTTTTCATATGGATTATTATTCCGTTAAATATTGTAAATAAAATAGTATATTATAAAAATCTGCCATGCTCCTCGAGTGAAATTTCAGTAGCATTTGTTTCTTGAAGGAGAGCAGTGTCGTCCTTTGATGAGTTTTATCGTAAAATGTAACGTAAGCCCCTGCCTACAGATTCAAGACTTTCCGAATCGACAGGTGGTCAAACCGGCAAGATAAATGGAGTAGATATATATCAGAGATATCATCATCGATGTTCGAAATTTCATGTGATTAATCACTCTGTTGCCCATAAAGACAACTTATGGGGCAGAAAATCATTATCGGTTCTAAAAAAATGGGCAGTCTCTTAATTAACAAATATCATAAAATGAAAAAAGGGGGTAATAATTACTGAGTACCTGCATTATGACTGTAGCGAATGTCACCGGGGTTTTAAATTTTGTCTTTAGACTGGTATTTTTCTTGTGGAAGCGCCAAAAGGCGAGGATGGCAACTGATCATTAGCTGGCAATTATTGAACAAATAGATGTGAATACAAAAAGTGTGGAACATTTTTGATCGAACAGAATTTATACTTGTCACTCGTTATTTCAGATTCGTCATATATCATTATTATTTATTATAAATGTTTTATTGTAATCAATATTGTGATAAATAAGAATATATACCTATGTTTACTTGTCGCGTGAGATGGAAATGATATATGGAGACGTGTTCTTTACATGACGAAATTAGGTAAAAAAAAAAAAGCGAAAAGCATTTTTGATAAATAATACAAATTGATCAAATACTTCAATTTACTGATTAATTAAGAACGATCCAACTTATATTTCTCATTTACTGCTACAGGATGATTAATACTATTCAATCATTTTTACAAATATCATTTCCTGTTTCCTTGTGGTTTACGATTTTATGAAGACAAAATACTTATCTATGAACCTACATATCATTCAGATATTTCGTAAAAAATCGTCGGTTTTAAAAATTAATCATAATTTTAGATGATATGTATCATAATATGAACAAATAATATCATTTACACGTAATCACTTTTCTTATCTAATATTGACTCACTTAATTCAAATATTATTTATTATGACAAAGTAATCGTACATGTGGCTCGGGAAAATTTTTAGCCTCTTTGACAAGCTTTTAAAGTACATAAGAATATTCGGTTCGCGATTTTTAAAATTCTTTATAATAGCCAGGTCACATATAAAAATCTTTACTAAAACCAGAACAAAATACAGACAGATCTCAGCCAGCAGGACCTCCACAGTGAAGTGCTTGCTGATGAGTTAGTCTGCCGACTTGAAAATGAGAATCGACTTGCGATAAAGAAATTAAATTCACCACTTCAAACGCGCTCTGCTTAGTATTCGCTTCTCGTTGAATTAATCTGAATGATTATTCTTGATATCAACAAGATTAAACAAGGCCCGCGTGCTTAAGGTTGAGCCGAGTCTCTTCAAAGTCCCAGCAAAGACACCAGATTGCGAAGCAATTGTCTTGAAAACGGCCATTTGCGGAACAAAAAGCCTGCGATATTTATGTCGTGTAATTGGAGGGATGCGCAAAGTTACAACCATCTGGGCATTTCAGCCTCATTATGCTTGGTCGCATTCAGAAGTGGTGTTAATTACACCGGGACCCAGGTATTAAATGATTATTGTCGGGATTAATCTCGGCTCTATGGCGTTGCCCCACCTGTTAGGAGGTTAGTGTCCGGGTCTCGAATGCAGTGAGGCATTTAAGCGATTTTTAGTTAAGACATTTCAATGAATTTTACCCCTCTTGATGAGTATTGTCCCTGTATTGTAGCCGTCGGGGTGGTGTTATAGGCAGCAGACAGTGAAGTAGGCCAGTAACGAGTGTACTTGTCGAGTCCTCTCCCTCCAGGCTACAAATATGGCAGTGTTTGCCCAACTCGGAGCTCGTGGTTTGGTGACATCTACTTAAGGGGGATTAGGTTTTTGTGGCACGCGCCGCCTGTCAGTCACGAACGCGCGACCTTTAACCATAAAACAAACAACTTGGACATTTTGATTGTAGAAATGCTCTCTGAGTGGAGCAGATATTTCTGTTACTTTTTCCTCTTCTCTTAAAGTTTATTTGAAAATATCATTTCCATTTAATGCATACTCGAATTTTAAACAGCACATTAACTTATCCGATTGTATCAGTGTCTTATCTACGTAACAAAAAAAAAAAAAAAAAAAAAAAAAGAAAATCAATTATTTCTTTCCTTAATGTAGCTGATATTCGATGATCTCTTGCAGATGGCCCATAGAGACCGACTAATGCACCGCTAATATATATGAAATGAATTGTAGTGTATCAGATGAAAAAGTNATTTAATGCAACCCCAATTTTAAAAAGCAAATTAACTTAACCGATTTTATCAGTCTTTTATCTACGTAAAAAAAAAAAAAAAAAAAAAAAAAAAAGAAAATCAATTATTTCTTTCCTTAATGTAGCTGATATTCGATGATCTCTTGCAGATGGCCCATAGAGACCGACTAATGCACCGCTAATATATATGAAATGAATTGTAGTGTATCAGATGAAAAAGTTTTCATTGTCAGATAAAGAACATCAGTGATAAAATTACAAGGTCGTTAGCGGGACTAAATTGGCACACAAAACCTAAAGAAATTTAACCTTGTATGAAATGTGATACAGAGCTCAGTAAGAAATACGGGACAAAATTTACTAACGGTCCCTTTCATTTAAAAACTATACGATTCCGCAACACTTTTACTCTATTTTTTTTTAGCTAATTTTAGAGGCCTGTGCTTAAACTTATTATTCTATCATATCATTATAATTACTTGTCGCTGAATTTATGTAATGTTTCGTTTATCCCAAACGTGTCCGCCTTAAAACTGTGCTAGAACTAAATATCGCAGGCTTAGCGTCGAATGTCCATTAACATATATTTGTGAATGTTTTAGTTAATGCAATTATCTATGTCAAAAAAGGGAACTATTCACAGTTGTCTGTATCACTTTAATTTTTATTTTTTTTGCTGATATAATTGTTCCTACTCACTCGTCTTTGCTTTCGGTAAATCGTTTTGCTTTAGTTTTGCTTTTTAGTCTTTCATATGATAAATATTTTGTTATTGTTAAGAGACAACAAAATTTTAACTTCACATTAAAAAACGGCACCTGCATCTGTTATCAGCTGCTTTTATATACTATCTGCAAGGACAAGGGGTGGTCTCCTTTGAATATATTAAATGTCTTGATTACCAAGCAGATTTTTTTTGTTCAGCAAAGGACTCACCAGTGTTTTCTTCTTTCATACAATTCGAAATAACCAGGTATTTTTCTCTGGATCAGAATCACAAAATGATAACGTGAACCCTAATTATAAACCGAGGGCAAATACATGTATAACAGAAAGAAGTCATCCCGTGATACATGTAGTTAAAATAATAATCACTTTAACCAATTTTGCCGAACTTCATGACGCAGCCACCTCATCAAAACTGTGATTCAGTGTATGTTTGCAGATATCACTCTTGTCCTATGAAAATATAGACTCTCTGTACTGAGCGCTAACCGTCTGAAGTAGACAGGTGCATTTTGATCGATAACCCTGCGTCAACGATCCTTCACTCTATTTCTCGAGCACAAAAGCACGTAGGGGGTTAAATATCAGTTCAGTCCCCTATCGTTCACCTAGCATGCTTAATGAGAAATTAATAGACCGGGAGAGCTTTTATATACTGCCTACCACTTCATTGAAAAGTTCATTAAACATACGATCTCTTTATGGCGAATGTTTCGCATAATTTGAGCCAACTGCTCGCTAATAAGACCCCTTGGTCAAAATAAACGGAACGAGACTGTGCCTTTTTGAATTTAATGGAAAGATTAAAAATAATGAACTTGATTCCGTACATGTATGTCCGTTCCCCGTTAGTATAGGTAGTATTAATCAAACCACTACTTTAATTTTTTTTACTTGCTGATATATTTACTTCTTTTCCTATCTGAGTTTCGCTTTTTATAAAACAATAGAAAAGCGATTAATTAGCAAAGGCTATCCTCGCAATGAAAAAGGAATGCTTTAAAATTATCTCGAAATGATGCATGAAAAAAAAAGATGTTTACAAGTCAGTAAACCACATCTGTATAGGTAATAAAATTCTGACATTATATTTCAAACCAAGGAGTTGTTGGAACTCCTTGTTCAAACTTAACCAGATAGGTCCGATGAATGCAAACATTGACGTAACAACGGGGGTCGCAGTCGCTCACTGTGTTGGGGATATTATGTCAAAGAGACACAACACAACACGAAGCGAGGACAGCACCACCCAGCAGCTGTGAGGGAGATAGTATTACCAAAATACACGGCATATACGGCACCTTTGTCATCAGATTTAATATATGAAAAGACAGAAACAATGTTAAATTGACAAAGGAAATAAAGAAACACAAATTTGTTGGCAAATTAGTAAAAAAATACAAAAGAGTGTCAAAATGAAAATGACAAATTGGAATAGTAAAGAACAATTCAGTTTTGTTACCTGGTCATACGTACATGTACGTATAGAAATTCAAAATAGTGTTAATATACTACATAAGATAAGAAGAAAATGACCTAAACTGCAGACCGGATACTACAGGGTATACTTTAAATTGTGAAAGGAATGCAAAAATACAATGAAAAACACTGTATATCGGAAGAATATAAAAAACTTAGATATACGGAACAGTGAATAAAAAAGAATACACCTGCACTGGATACAATAAAAGAGAAATAAATAGAATATAAAACTTCTTATATGCCTTTACATGTACTATCCATAGCCTTCAATAGATAAATGAGAGAAAACAAAGATACATTTCGAATAAAATATTTGAAAAGGCACACTTGCATCTCTTTGAAATATATAAAGGAGATAACAAAATAATTAAAATGCCGTAAAATGAAAAAATAAAAAATTTAAAACAGAAAGAAAAATTTTGAAATACATGATGAAGAGAAAATATATGATTTTTAAAATTAGATTTTATAAGGTTTGTCTGAAAACTGTTGCAAGAGCGATTCTTTTTATCTGTAATGGGAAATTCTAATCACTCTCAATATACTGTTCATACAGTTGATATGCTACGTTATGCAGTAGCAAAACCGGCGAATTAGTTTTTAATGGTTTTCTGCCCACATTCTAAGGTTCTGTTGCCAAGGAACATTCGCATGTCGAAATTTGTTCTAAATTCCATTAGTATATTCTCTAGATTCTTTTTCGCTGTGTAAACTTAAATATTAACAACTTTGCCTTTTATTTACTTCACTTTTTTTGTCCCAACTACATAGTAAAATTACTTGTCCCATGATATTTGCATTAACACATTAACTTTAGGGGGACAACACCAGCATGAAAAAGCATATACAAATGTCGAACGTTTGGAAATTAGACTTTATTTTGACTTTATTTTGGGTTATCTGCATATCATGAAAAAATAGAACAGCTGATGGCTGGAGGCAGTTCTTGTGAAAAAATCCAATTCAGCATATCAAGTAGATAAGGTTTCATATCACAAATTTTGCAAACAGTTTTCAAAAATAATATGAATTGAAAGCTGCCCCACCGTCTCGAGGTTTCAGCAATAATTTTCCTTGAGTTTAGATTGAAAAAAAAGTATACAAGTGTTTTCAAAACGGAATAAAGCTTTCGGTTAATTTGATAAAACATCTTAATTCAAAATGAATGATGGATAACTATGAATGGTTCTTATTAGTACATCAATTTGGATGATGAAATAAGTGTAAGTAAACTGCAGTAAGGGACTGGGTTAGGAGAAAAAGAAAGGAATGGTATAGTCGACGGGTCAGTTTAATCTGCCACAGACAAAGAAGACATTTACTATTATGAATCATTGCACTTGAATTCGACATAGTTCTGCACAGTATTAACCGTAGCAGTTTGTAAGGATTGTCCTGTACGGCACTAAACTAGCGGATTTTTTTATCTCAGAAATTATTAGCACATGTACATCTATTTATTTTTCTGAACACAGTTATTGACAAGTACTAATTATGAATAGACTCTGTTGGAATGGCTTTCATAATTTCATGAAAAAATCTGGAGCATTATTTTATTAATTCAAAAATAAGATATAGGCAAAGAGAACGAGTTATTAAGAAACAAAATACTACTGAAATGGATTTTGGTTATACTTTCTGTTTTATAGCAACACTCAGTGTCAACTTAGCTGTAATCATTCATATCACCTATTTTTAAGCTTACTTTGCTTAAATTCGTCACCGTTAATCCGACAATGAGCTTCCTCGCGTCTACAAATTTGGTTTGGTTTGCTGCAAATGAAGTTTGAACGGCATTCTTAAGTCATGTAAAAATTAGCAAGCCCAGACGTTGCATTATTTTGGATACCAATTTTCGCTCCTATGCATTTAACCACGCATTCCACATGTCTGCTACCTCCTTATCCAAAGATTATCGCAATATAGAAATATATTCAAGTAGGCTGGGTGTATTCAAGGAATCCAACGCACTACTCTTTTGGCCACAAAAAAACCTCTCTAAATTAAAATTTGATCTATTTAAGTTATGTGAACATGTAAGTTTCGCGGTAAAAATGTCCACTTTCAACCCCCCCCCCCCTTTTCAATTACTGTCTGCATCCCTCAAATATGACTGACAACAATAATCCATAAGACTGTATATTGGAAAAAGCCGAATTGCATATGTGTCAGAAAGTGAGGAATTAAGCAGTGGCCTTTGCTTGTGTCAGAGAGTGAAGAATTAACCGGTGGCCTTTGCTAACTGACAGGCATTATGAAAAGATTAGAAAACTATACTGGATATGGTAAGGTCAATGACTGAAAAGGTTTCACTTTGAAAACATGAAAAAATAAAAGGAAAATCAATGTTTGCTTATCAAAATCAGGGGAAAAAAAGGAAAATTAATGTTAGAATTGTCTTGAGAGATTTAATACAAAATTACATTTTAAAATGTTTTCTATTAAATAGCAATATCTTAAGGTCGCCGGCATATTTGAAATAAAAAGTTACTTAGATGAAAAACACCTGTTTATAAACTGTTTGTAAAATGAATTAGAAATGTACACAATGTAGAAATCTTAAAATAAAATGTTTCCTCAATTATCAGTGGAAGTGATTTTAGAAAAAACTAAGATAAGCACTTGTTTGGTAAAAATATTACTCTTGAATATATATATATATAGGGCCTATATATATATATATATATATATATATATATATATATATATATATATATATATATATATATATATATATCCGTGAATATTAATATAACAATCAGTTTTTGACATTTCAATATTAAAACATCTTTTCCCAACTGCACATGGTTTCTAACGCCTCAGCTAACTATAATTTGAGTTGTTACAAATCATAAATACTAGATTTAGCTCGAGTCCAGAAAATTGAATTTCAGGCTGCTCTTCTATCCATAACCTAAAATTAAATTGAATTTATATCTTTTTTTCTGCGGCATAGGTATGAAGGAGCCAGGATTCACTCCATCTCTTTTCACAGGCCTTCCGTACAAGATGTATCCCGGCCACTCGCACGAAACGTCCCTCAACCCAGAAAAACGCAAACAGAGGCGGATACGGACTACTTTCACTAGCGCTCAACTCAAAGAACTGGAGAAGGCCTTCGCCGAGACACATTACCCAGATATTTATACACGAGAAGAAATAGCCATGAAGATCGATTTGACAGAAGCGAGAGTTCAGGTTAGAATGATATGCCAGGATGTGAATGAGTGAGAAAGTAATAGAGGGAAGATTCAAGATATATATATATATATATATATATATATATATATATATATATATATATATGCGATTTCACGCAATATCGTCGTCGCCAAATAACACAATGCTTTTGGGTAAACAATAAACAATTTGTGTCGTAATTAATGTTAATTTGTTTGATGCTGATTAAGACGAGAGTTTAAATTTGAAATCTAAATGACAAATGCATTACCTTGCATTTCAAACATTTGGTTAATATTCCTGAATACGGAAGCTAATAGCAGCTAGCATGATAAAAACTGATATTTTTCTCATTATTACTTCAGGTATGGTTTCAAAATCGGAGAGCCAAATTCCGAAAAATGGAGCGAGCTAAGCAGCAGCAACAGCCATCTCAACAGTCACAGCAGCAGTCTCAACAAAGTGCCCAAAAACAAGATACAAACACTGTCTCAAGCAAAGATGGAAAAACAAAAACAGTTGACAACACAGGTAAGGAAAGTCGCGTTGAGTTAGATGCGCTTTAAATTGCGTTAACGCATTTATTAGATGCACATCTACCACAATTTCAAAATTTAGGTCTTTTTTGTTGATATTATTTGTCAAGTTTTTTTAATTGATCTGATAAATTTCTATCGCATCTTAAGCTGCCATTTATCAGAAAACACTGCGATTTATTTTCTGAATTACAAATTAGATTTAGATCACAATCAAGTCTACATCTTTCTCAGTTCACAATTAGTGCTTAAAATTCATTTACATATAAACAAAAAATTAATGTGTTTATAATCCCAGTGGGTGTAGAATATGGAGAGCTAAAACTATGGTTTCCTAAACGAATTTCTATTGATTGAATGTGACACTGAGTCTGTTCTCTGTGGTCTTGAAGGCTTCATTGATTTTCCGTGGCTGTACAATTATAAACAGTTCCGAATCTGAAAAAGAATGGAAATAACACATTTGTTTTTAATGCCTATCTGACGTACTTCTACTACTCTTTCAACACATATTATTCTAAATTTTTAGAAAATCTGACAAACTGAAATCCTCTGTGTGCTCTTTCTTTCTTTCTTTCTTTTTTTCTCTCTCTCAACATTTTTACATGTTTCTTATTGGACTTTAGAATTCGATCTCAACAATCAATTTGCGAAAGAGTTTCGATATAGTAATCTTTTGCCAGTTTATAATATACATAGAAGTAACATTATTATTATTATTATTTTTTATTATTATTATTATTATTATTATTATTATTATTATTATTATTATTATAGGGAAACCCCCAAGTGATCAGTCTAACAAATGGAATTTGAACAGCGGCAACTGCGTACAGTTACAAACAAAGAACACCACCAACCTCAGCAACCCTCCAACTTTGCCCGGGCCATATCAAAATGTCCTGACGCCGAATTCAGCAGACTTTCAAGGGCCTGGTGCCAATGAAAAACCAAACATTCCGACCTCAATGTTCTGAAATGAAAATCATATGGAAGAGACTTGTCATCTACGACATAAAGGAGATATTTTACTATTTACATTCAAGTTAAAGGATTTCTGGGAATAGGTGGCGCTGTGTTCCCGTTCTTATTGCTATTTTCGCCCAAACATTTAAAGGGTTTAGCAGTACAACTTGGCAAAAATATAACAACGTACCAAGCTAACGCAAAAGCTTTATGTTGTTAGAAATGAAACGGGTAGTAATAAAGATGACCGTAAAAGTAAAATCTACCGAAATTTCGCAATAGTCGCGACATGACATACTGTTTACAACATTCACAGTGTAGTAGTCTATTTTTATATTTACAAACTACACTGACGCAAAGGTAATGTTTCGGTTTATATTTACGTACAGTTTTACTTTCAGCAACATTGTACCAATCCTACCCAAACCCCTACAGGAATTATTCGGGTACTTGTTTTACCTCTGGCACTGTGGCACATCCAAAATGTTACCGCTAACCCTGTGAGGCCGCACTGAGAACCTGTTTGCCCTAAAAAAAACAGTATAATATATTGGGATGAGGGCGGAATTTTCTACCACAGGTTATGATAGAATTAGCAAGAAAAGGTTATAAGTGAAATAAGTATCAAAAATATACATCAATCTATCAGGATGGAGCATACTGCAATAATGATAATGATAATGATATAAATGCTTTTCAAAAGTTTATCGTTACCTATTTATTTGATAATTGTCCGTCTAACGGCATATAAAACTGGACAAAAATTAGTGCTCTATCTTTTATTTTATTTATTTATTTATTTTTAAATTATTTCTTTTTAATTTTTCATAGGCCTACAAATCAGAGTAGAAAGCGGGTTTGTGAGGTCCATACTTGTTTTTCAAGTCTGGTTTTCTAAAGCTCACAACAGGAAGTTAAAAAAATATTCTGTCTCATATATGCAGGCTTCGGCAGAATTCAATCAATACTTCAGTTCAGAGAGTCAGATTTTTTTACAGAGGCGCCGGGAGATGTTATGTGCAATATATTTTCTCCACTGTAGAACGAACACTTATGGTTTTATACGTTTTTGACATAATTTATTGACCCATGAAGTTGTTGCATTAATTCTGCACAAAATTTTCTCCGGTTTCATTAATTGTTATTATTCTCCGGTTGAATTATTGTGTACTTAGTAACAAGAACCGATGATATCGCTGAGAGCACGTTATACAGTATGCTCTAAATATTTAATTTATTGTCAAGGAATTATTTAAGAGAAATCGTCTTTTTACATAGTGTATCATTTGTATTTATTATGATGATGTGTAATATTGTGCAATTTTGCCCTCATTTATCCTTTAGTCTGCGTGTGTATTTTATCGTATGCATGTGTCTGTATATGGATTTTAAAACCTTTTTACATGTAATATTTCAGATTGTTTTGAAAAATTAAATATTGAACTTAAAATGCAGCAAACGTGTTCCTTGTTGCGGCCATGGAGCGTTGACTTTTACTACAGCCCACATTTCCTGTAATAGACGTCATTACTTCCCTGGCCAGTGAATACTAGTGATGAAAGGAGGGATAACTATCATGATAATCTGAATAAGATGTTTTAATCGCGTCATTTTAGTGTATACAGCACAGATTACACTAATAAACAAATGAAGTGAATTTTCAAAGCCGCGTGGGAGGGAGGTAATTACATAAACAATTAAGAATTAAGTTGAACACAAATTGAATTGATAAATAAAGTAAGCACATACATATACATGGGGCTCTACAGAAAAACGCATCAAATTCTATTATAAATTTAGATGATTGCTCTTTGATAATTAAATAAAACTTAAGTAAAAACTTTAATTAAAAGGCCCATTATTTGCTGTCGACAGCGGTTCTTTTATAAATAGATGTCACTGAAACTGAGAGACTGAAAGCAAATATACACAGAAAGCCTCCCCTCCCATGAACATGAAAGTTTGTCTTACCCTTGTGTTAGATACATCGACAAACTTTGTGAAGCTTAAAAACAAAAAGAGATTTGATGTAAGGCTCAGATTCACTTCTTTTCATTTAATTCACTTTCCTTTCGATTCCCAGAATTATATCTATATATGTGTGTGTGTGTGTGTGTGTGTGTGTGTGTGTGTGCGCGCGCGCGCGCGCGTAAGCTTGCCTAAACGTTTGTGGCAGGGGGGGCAGACCTCTTTTCTAATTATCAATGTTGACAACTGTAGCCTGATTTCACATAAATATTCACTGCATCATTTTTTGCAAAGATAAAATAAGCCTCAGAGTCCTTTGTTTCTTTATTCTGAAGGAATTAGATTGACAAATAAAGAACCAAAATCTAAAACAAAAATTGTTAACTCAAAGACACATGGCTTACGTTTATTAACATTCTTTTTCCGGTGCGTGGGTTACCGGCCTACACAGTGAGTAATGAGATTCATGCGGTGGAGAACTTATCGCACCGGTATTATGCTGGTTCTGAATCTCACCAATATCCTACTAGGAAGAATGAGAAAGCAGATATCAATAGAGATTTAAGGAACTGGTAAAGAACCACGATGAACATCGCATCAGTCTGTATAGGCGACTACCGCACGGGGAAAAATAGTTCTAAAATTTAAAATCCCCGGTGTTGTGTTAGTTAACCTTGACCGTATCTGTTAATGACAAATTCTAGTTTTACATCTGATCCTATACACATGGATATAGTTTGTTTCCACACGAAAACAAAATTGTGAAATCTCACCCGCCAAGTTTTATCAATACAAACTTCCGATGCTCCAGCCTGCGGTAATAAACAAGCAGGGGAGATAAATAGAGTAAATACAAAAAATTGTAAGCCACGGGTCAAAAGCTTTATTGTCAGGGATAAAAACCATTGCTTGTTTCAAGCTACATTTACAACAGTTGATACAGTTTTCACATCGGTGGGGAATCTCCTTCGATCATGTCAGTGGATTCTGGTGAAAGTTCCTCTGGAAATGACGCCTTGCACACGCTACACAGACAATTAGCCAGATTGTGGGCAAAACTATTGAGGGCGTTAACACCAGTGGAACGCCCCCATGCTGTAGAGTAGCAACAAGCTTGACACCCAGTCAGATCAGCCTCTGCGCTACATTCCCCGTATTCAGCGGTTGAGTCGAAGCACTGAGAAAACGGGCACGCGCAATGAGAAAATGTTCGCACAAATGCACCCTCACTGCTGGTTCTGAAATGCACTCTGTATGCTTCGATGAAGCAGCAGTTGTCGCAGAGGGTTTGGGTTTCCTTGCTCTTGCAAATGCCCTTTGGGGGGAGCAGAGACTCTTCCAGAGAAGACACACTGCGGGAAGCCCTGGCCGTTTTTACCTCCTCTGCCGGGGCGGCGGCTCCAAGGGTCAGAGATATGGCGATGAACAGCACACCACATGTAAACTTCTGAAATCATAAAAAAGATAAATGTCCCTTTTTTCATTCTGTGTATGTATATTTTGTATCTTATCAACAATTTAAACCATTATGATGGTAAGATACTGATGTAATGGTATTCCACATCAGCCTGAAGCGTGGGGTGCATGCAAAAACATCTTAATTCTGGTAAAAAATAATAAATATGGATAAGTGCAATATTTGAATATACCCTGTGCATAATATGGAATAAAAGACCCAAAGCAAATCTGAACTCAAAAGAATAAAAAACTTGGTAACTATTTTTTGCCAGGTCAGATTTTAAATCAGGTGTGTGTGTGTGTGTGCGTGAGAGAGAGAGAGAAAGAGAGAGAGAGAGAGACTACAGTAAGCTAGAAGTCTGTAAAAATATATAAACAATTTATGCACACAATCTTACAAAAATACAACGTAAATCTATAGCTTGTACACATGTATCGGTATATGCAAGCGTCACACTTACCATCATTATTCCACTACGACTCATATATTAAAGCGTATTCCCACTTGTCGTGCCTTTGACTGTTAACTTTGATATGCGCCTTCACCTCGAGAGGAAAACATATTTATCGCCGAAACATAACTTAATGATTCATCCATCAACTGACGTACCCAGTCAAGCTGTTTCAATTATTGGCAATTGTTAGCAGAGGTTATGAATGACTTCCCTTCCGTAAAATTCCAACTGGCCATCCTCTACGGGATTGATTTACATCAGGGATGCCTGTTTATCCAGTCGAACAGAGAAAACCCCGGCTAACCGACACTCATTTCCGATTACATCTCAATGCAGATTCAAGGGAACGGAACGAAGATTATTGAAATGACTGGTGTTTCATTTAACACCAGGTTACATACATTTACATATTTCTTTCTTGTTGTTAAAAACTGCTTCCCTGCTATCTCCTTTTAAATAAAATAAATAGTTGAACAGCAATTTTAGAAAGAAATGTTGGCCCACGTTTACTCCTAATTATAATTTTTTCTGGTTATCCGAATAATTGATATAATTAGATCACAAGGTGTTTTTAAAATACGAGTTTATAAGTAGAAATTTAAAAGAAGTCACATATCACATGTGCAGTGATTTCATAGAAAAAATATGTTAAATCAAATTGCTTTCTTACGTTGTATTCAAGAGATATCCATCAGCTTTCCCCGCCCTACAGGTGCGTCCTATTCAAACAAATGTGTGCGTGTTGTGTTGTAATTTCAAACCCAAGGTTAAAGATGTCGTGTGCATAAACAACTGGTTTGTGTTTGTCGAAATTACAACGAAGAAAACACTCGGCAGGCAGTGAATTTTTGGGGAAGGTTTTCGAGATGTAACTCATCAACTTAAACCCCTTCTGTAAAGGTGAAAAAACAAACAACCTTTGCACTTTAATCGATTTAATTTGTTGTGCTTTCAACCAGGATACTTATTTTTACAAGCCCGTAAGTCATGATCACACCAAGAATGAATTAACTACAAATCATTATTTGTAGTTCAATTTTGTAAATATCTTTCGATCTCCAATGTTTAATAATAACTAATTATTCATTGTTTTTTTTTATTTTTATTTTTTTTTGCTAACTTCATCAGACAATTTTTGATATTTTGAAATTTTCAATTTATAAAGATCCACTCGCAGTGAAAACGTGACACGGTGATTTAGGTATGAGCCATTTGGTACATAAAACCAGTCGAGGTTACAGAATGCATATTTCTAATTAGGCACTATGGCATTGCCAATGAACGATCTGGAAATTAATAGACTTCATTTCCCGAATACAAGTGCTAATAAACCGAATAAAAAACGGCGTCATGAGCATATTAGATTGGTACTCAACTTCCGTTATAGACATTCACTTTCATGTCGTGGTCCTCAAAAGTATTATTCCTAACAGTAATATTGTCGATTATAGTAACTTTTGTAAAGCATATAGCCAGTTTTTAATTATTTTTTTTGGTCGTATACATTCATTCATTCATATACTGTCTTATTAGAATATATTAGATTTATTCGACTGACAAAAGTTCCTTTTAAAAACTGTTGTCAGTGCACGTTGTAACATTTCTTGATTTCGTAAACGCATCCAAAAATGCGACAGCAACGACGTGTCGCAACCAGTGCTATCACGACTGTGTTCAGCTAGACGGCAGAAACTCGTGCATTGGTAACACTCGTTCATAATAACGGATGCAGCTGTGACTTAGGCGGATTTTGTGAAACTGCACGCCGAAAGCAATTCTGATGTAATCTACAGCAAAATACTTTCATATAGTGTAATTATTTTTTAGGATTAACAAAGCTCATAATCAAAAAAGAACATTCCCACTTTTTTCAAAAGGTTTATTATATTTCAGTAACACAGTTCCAACAAAACAATAGTATAAATATACATTTGAATAACAAGACTACATGACATAAACCACAAATAACCAAATACAATTAATCTTTTTTTCTATCACAGCTATAACAAAATTATACATATTTGTATGTTATTATAATACTGGTTTGAATAAACTTGTAACAGCCCCAGTAGATGAAAAGGCTTTATAACTGTGAACTAAATAAAGTATCAACTTGTCAAGAATCTATACCCTTTACACCAAAAAAAAACATTTTCATCTTAATGTCATAAAAGCTGTATGACATATACTATCTAAAGCCATGTCCTACTGTTAAGTTCAGTCAACGAATATCACATCTTGCTCCAGTTTCTTAAACTTACCATGTAATTGTGGAAATCGTAATGTTGACAGCTAGCACAACCATTAATATTTACTGAAACTATTGCTTGGCAATATAATATGTACATTATGAAGTGTAGGACAATCTGTAAATACATATACATAAAGCCATTCACTGGCAAGTCTCAAGGTTTGCAGAAGAATAAATCAGTTGGGGGTGAAAAAAAAATGTCATAAAGCATTAAATATTGAACTGTCCCAACTGCAATATAAACTGAGCACTTTTATCCTTTGCATAACATGTTCCTATTTTAGTTGTCAAACCTTAGCAAATAGTGAGGACACTTACAGACTGGTTTCACGTCCAATTATTTTGTCTATTCTACCACTCTTACACTCATTGGCAAGCAAAATTACAGAATCGGAGCGATTTTGGCGAGGAGATATTAGACCAACGCTGCTCTCAACTTCGCCAAGATTGGTTGATAAATCACAATCCTGGATGCTAACACTGCTGATCCTCCTGGCTCCAACTGAACACAGTCCCATACAACCATTGATGACAGCAGTTTCAACATCTCTGTCATCCAGGCTAATGTTATTGTTGTCATCTCCAAGGTCTACTATACGAATAAGAGGGTTTTGCTCTCGCCAATCTGCCCACACCTTATAATGGTATCGAAGGGCAACCTGCAAATTAAAAGAAAAATTATAAATTGAGCCTTTTTTTTTTTAAACTTAGGCACCTCAATAAATACAGCTGTCAAACAATGATTCTAGTCCTAATTATTTCAGAAATGAAAGTGAAATGTGTACATCAGGTTACATTGGTGTCAGCCACAAAACTTAAAAGCTGTATGATATAATCTCAAATTGAAATTTCCATGCTCAATGAAAAAACTCCTTTACATTTTCATAGAGGATACAGATACAATCAATAAGAAAATGAAAGAAAACTACATAAAAATCATTTTTCAACACTGACGTTTTTTTTTCCCTAAACTGTGACAACAGACCAACACTTACCAAGCACCAAACAATATATATCAAAACAAGGAGGACAGTGAGGGTAATCAGCCCCGCAGCCTCCCACTGGTTGGTCCACTCTGCATAATGTAAGGCCCCAGTGACACACAGCCAGGCACTGACAGCAGCCAGGGGGGTCAGGACCAGGAAACAGATGATATCACCCCACATGTTCCTCTTGTCGTTGGGTCTCTTTGGCTCTCTGAGCCACTAAATAGGGAGAAAATGTGTTTAAAAAAAAAATATATATATATTGATGCTACAAAATGAATGCGTTAATGCTTAGGTATTTATATATTCTGCATATGTTGGGTTTACATGACTGAGTATTCTTCAACTTTTTTTATCAACAGATTTTAATAATTTTTTTTTCCTAAATGTACATGCAGTAACCTTTAAATTTTTGGACTGTATAAAACCAGGAGTAGTAGGCTAATCTAATGCTTGTTTTATGACATTTCTGTAATCATTTTCTACAGTAATCCAAAATAATCATCAAATGTTTGTCTTCTGGCATTTATAAAATTATAATCTGTTGTTTACCTGCCAAAAAGGCCTGCACTGCTTCTCCACCTGGTACTCAAAGTCACAGATCTCACACCTGTTGCTATTGGATGAACCCAGCCACTGTTCAATACAACTCCTGTGAAGAAGCCCCATTGTTCCTGAACACTTGCAAGGAGAGATCAGTTGCTCCACTTTGTCTCCTTCGTGACAGATACGACATATGGTCAGGCTGCTACTTTCACTAAAAGATCTGCAATAAAGAATTACTAGTAGTTAATTCACACATTTATGATAACAGAGATTCTTATTTGCCAATATGTAATAAAGTACATGTTTTCATAAATAAAATCTAATTTTTTTCAGCAATTCTTCAAGTTTAATAATTATCTGCAATAGCTGAAAATCATAAAATCAGTCAATAACTGATATATGAGAAAATTGTTTCAGCCAATAATATCTATTTTTTCTGAACATATTTTTTCTATATGTGACATTACCTGGACAAATTTCTGCAAGCTCTTCCAGAACGCTGAGGTGCAGGTGATGCCATATTGCTGCTGCTCAGTGATGATCTCTTCCTGTGTCTAGTAGCTGAGCCTGAAGTTTCTAACTTAGAAGACGATACAGACTGACTTGGTGAAACTTTTGGGGTCTTGACTGGTGAAGGTAGCATTACCAGCTGACCCTGGACTAAATCTTTTCTCACAGCTATTCTTTCTTGCTTGGGAGAATTCTGTGTGTTGTCATGGCAATGGGATGGAGTGCTACTGTCTGGTGACTCTTCTTGAATTGTTTGGGTGTAAGGTGTTTCTTGGATGCTAGTTGTATCCAGTGATCGAGGCATTTGGAAACTACATAAAGACAAACAATCCAATATACCATTCAGCCAACCATTTCATCCAAATATGGAAGAATTTAGAACATCCCTCTACTTTCTCTAATACTATAACCATTTACTCTCGAAGTAATGACTACAAAATAATCCCTTATTATTTAATCTAGTAATGGATACTTCAAAAAGAGTGGGTCACCAACTTACAGTTTGAATGACCATGCGTATAAAAATTGCAAATTGGTTACTCGACTGGTTATCAGCTTGAATCTATTCCAGGTTGACCATGTTCTATTATAAGGATTAAACATTATCCTTGGATGCCATTCTTAGCCCTCTCACTGCCTTTTGCAGGACTAAAAAATGAAAAACAAAAAAACACTCGCCTCGACGCACCCGGATATCTTCAAATCTCGCGGAAATATGTTCAAAGCGAGGTTTCCAATATCAACCCAAACTGATAGCTCGACAAATTATGATGCATTTCATGCATTTTCTTTAGCATACACAGTTATCGATAGTTAAGTTTAATTGATACAGTTTATGAATAACTAATCGATTCATTCTTGCATAAATAATGTAAATATAAAACAAATAAATAAATGAGTGTTTGAGGTTCTCCTGTCTGCCGCTAGGGTGCAGTGAAGTATTTCCGGTACAGAAAATCATGTGTTGGCGTGTTTTCGTTTTTGAATGAACTGTAAAATAAAAAGTAAATGGAGGATCGTGTCTACTTGAACGAGCGTTGCAAGGCTGCACTAAAGAAAACTTTTGGTCACGAAGACTACCGATCAGAACTTCAAAGACGAGCAGTTGAAACAGTAATCAAAGGTGACTGTAACATATATTATCATCAAAAAAAGTATCGTGAAAGTTTATCAACTTGCAGTTTTTGTATAACGTTAGATTTAATTTTTCATACATGTATGAAGTAAAGTCCACAGTTGAAGTAAAGTCTCTCTCTCTCTCTCTCTCTCTCTCTCTCTCTCTCTCTCTCTCTCTCTCTCTCTCTCACACACACACACACACACACACACACACACACACACACTGTTGAACAAATAGAAATGAAAATAGATACTGAGATATAGTTATATGCAACAGAATAAAGAGAGAAATTGGTTGTTTATGTTTCAGGAAAGAAAGATGTGTTTGTGTCTATGCCAACTGGAGCTGGAAAATCTCTGTGTTATCAGCTCCCGGCTGTCGTATCTAGGGGAATCACACTTGTGGTGTCACCCCTGATTGCTTTAATACAAGATCAGCTGGACCACCTACTAGCAATTAAGGTTCAAGCAGCTTCTTTGAACTCCAAGCTTTCTTCTAAGGAAAGAAAGCAAGTGCTGGGTGATTTACAAAGCAAGAAACCCAGGGTGAAGTTATTGTATATCACACCAGAGTTAGCTGCCACAGACAACTTTCGAGAAATTCTTGAGAAACTGCATGCTAGAAAATTATTGAGTTATTTAGGTATTTAAATGGTATATCTTTTCATAATTTGACCCAATTTGGTAAATTCAAAATGCCTTTTCCTCTTTGAGAATGTATCTGATTAAAAAACAAAGTATGAAATGAATTAAGCCTCATAAATATATTTCAAATGAAATGAAAGAATGATATTGAGAGATAAAAAAGAATAAAATTGGAAGTATTTTTTTCTAAATGGGCTATTTATATGAACTATTTTAAAGCTGTTTCTCCAGAATGTATCACCCATAAGTGGTCATGACACTTGTGTTATCATTTCAGTTGTTGACGAAGCCCACTGTGTGTCTCAATGGGGCCACGATTTCCGCCCAGATTACCTCAAGTTGGGATATCTAAGAACCAAGCTTCCAGGTTTGCCTTGTGTGGCACTGACTGCAACTGCAACACCTCATGTGGTTCAGGATATCTATAAGTTTGTATTGTTTTTTTCCCTATACTTTGTAAGTTATACATCTCTTTAATTGTAATCTGTTATGTGACGTCCTGTCTAGGTGAGCAGATTTACAGAGACAAGTCAATCAAAAGTGATGCTTGTATTTTCAGATCTCTTCACCTTAAAGAACCTGTGGCAAAATTCAAGAGTAGCTGCTTTCGCCCAAACCTGTTTTATGATGTGTCAATGAAGGAGATAATTGAGGACCCATATCAGGACCTGTATGAATTTGCTGTGAAAGCTTTGACAGGAGACAGCCCTGATAACTCACTCACGGTTGGTACAGTCGAAGACTTAATTACAGACTCATTTATTAGTATCACCCTGGCTTAGCTCTTTTTCACGCCATAATAGAATTCCAAGATTTTTATATCGATTCTGATTGGGGCCTGTGGACACCAGGCTGATTTGGTCCAATGATAAATGTTTTTTTTTTTTTGTATGGTACACAGGCACTTGTCTGACCACAATAGTGGACCTGGGTATAAGACTTGCTAAAAAATTTAAAACAGTTGGATCTTCAGACCCGCAGCTATGAAAATTTTGCCAGACCAAAGGACTTTTTGCCAGTCTGACAGTAAATCAAAATTGGCAGCTCTTAGAATTGTTGCTAGTCCCTTGAAAAAATTAAACAATTTTTCTACTGGTCCTTGAAGTTTGTATTATTTAATCATTGTCAGTAGGGCTGCCAGCTCTCTACTTCAATGCAGTACATGTGGCTGATGCATATGCAGTTTTGTTATATAGAAAAGTGTGTATTCTTCTGCTCAAATGCTTCTTATTTGGGTTTGTTTCAAATCAATGTAAAGATGATAAAGTTGATGAATTGGGTGCCGTGTTGTAAATACTTTAAATCTTGACTAGTCATTTTGCCAGCCAGTTCACCTTAAAATGGTTTACTGCAGTATTTAACTAGGGTTAAAGTCAAGGTAAATGATAGAACAGCAAGTGCATTAAGTGAGGAGACTACAGGTACTTGGAGCCTGAAAATGGGACTTATTTATTAAATGTTTTTCATCAGAATGCAGATAAAAGCAGTTGAATTCAGCTTATACATGGTGGTTGCTTATTCAAGTTTTAAAGTTTGTCTCATTATACATTAAATGTGTTTAGGGTGAGGGATTTTATTAGATTCTGGACTAATTCGAATAAGTAGATGTTAGCCTAATGCTTATCTTTTATTTTTGACTGAAGTGTAAAACATATTTGTTGTTTTGTATTTAAAGTTTCCACTTGGCTTAGAGCGGATTCTCAACGAACTGAGCCAGGCTTTACAAAGCCGGTGACCTAAAAATGGCGGACGTACATGAAAGAAAACCGCCTAATCTTTTAATAGTCTCTCTGCCTCCCCACACGTCGTCCCTGCGGGATACAGTAATTAAATCTCGGCTCCGTTCACCATGCGGAAGCTACCTGAGAAATATTAAGTGCGCATGCTCATCAGTTAAACTCGTGGTGAAGAAAGCATGGCGGCTGAAGGCGTTCGAAGGAAAAAAGCTCTTCTGTTTTATTATCTGTCAAAACAGAGACTTAAAAGGAATGAATTGGCCCGTAGAGCAGCAACGAATCGACTATCTACGGAGATAATATCACCAGAGATATTCACAGAACTACCCAGCCCCAGTAGACGTAGTTGGAGGTTGGAGCCGAGATTTAATTACTGTACCCCGCAGGGACGACGTGTGGGGAGGCGGAGAGACTATTAAAAGATTAGGCGGTTTTTCTTTCATGTACGTCCGCCATTTTTAGGTCACCGGCTTTGTAAAGCCTGGCTCAATTCGTTGAGAATCCGCTCTTATATTATTTACATGTGTAGTGGACAAAAATGTGTCCTAAAGAGCTTGTTGTGCTTGTTGAGCAATGTTATGATGCGCTTCTCTAATGCAATCTATGTGTTTAATCACGATTATTCCTTTTATTGAGAAGGTAGTGTGGTGTATGCCTTTCACACAAGCTTGGCTTGTTTTTAATTTGATAGCTGTATTACTGCAATGTTATTTTCAGCTATAGCCATAGTTTTTTTTTCAATTCAACAACAGTGATAGGTTTTTGCCATGATCTGTTGTTAAGTGTGATATATACCATGATTAAATCAGTGTGGTGATTCTTACCATAATTTTTGATGATGTACTTTGTTATTTTATTCTCCTGCTTTTTAACCAGCAGCAAGACTGTAATTAGCATCATGTATCTTATGGAGGATACTTCATTTATTTCACAATTTTATACTCTCTTTGCAGTTACAGAGTCAGTTTTGTATTTTTCAATTTATTTCAGTTATGCTGAGTGATATGTTTGTTCTATAATTTGCAGTAGATTAAATTGCACTGTATTCTTCATATTTTATTCAGCAAGCCTGTGGCAGTGGTATTGTATACTGTCGGACCAGAGACGCCTGTTCCGAGGTGGCAGGAAGACTCAGCAGGAAGGGACTACTGGCCAAACCATACCATGCTGGTGAGAAATTCTGAAATAACAAAATTTCAACATTTTTTTTTTGTTTTGCACAGGGCTTTCAGTGATTTAAACCTCGTCTACAATCCCTAGGCATATCATTGTACTTTTGAGGGTCATTGTAATTAACGGTAATCTTCAGTTATCTTGAGGTCATTTGCCTGTAGGTCACTTGATTAATGCATTAATGGCATGTCAGAGTGGAATGCATTGAGGCCATTTCATGCAACTTATTTTTCAGGCCACTATTGCACTTTTCTAGTAAAAGTCCAATACAATTTGACAATTAGACTATGTTAATTAATAGCATTCTGTCTGATTGTCCTATCAAGTTAACTGTAGTCATTAAAAACTGATTATTTGTCCATATCTCAATGTAATGCTTTATACTATGAAACATATTTTAAGACATAGTGTATAGACATGCAAGCCCAGACCAGATAGTAATGGTATTGTTTGAAATGGTTGCATGTGTGAGTGTGTAAGTCCTGAAAAACCCTCACATCCCTAGTGACTACTATAATCCTAAGGCCAATAATTTCAGGTAATATTTTTTCAGTTGGGTCATCATCTTTGGGAGTGTTAAATGTCATGGGTTAAAACTAACTTCTTTTCTCACACAAACTTTCTCTCGCTGTGGGGAGCGTGAAATCCCACGGGTTGAAGTTTATTTCTCTGTTACTAGTAATTTTCCCTGTATGAAAAAAATTATATCATTGTGACAAAGTTGAATAAATTCAATTTTTATGGTTAAATTCTTAACACCATATTTTTAAATGTAATATTTCAGGCCTGAAAGATTCTTTACGAACAGAGGTTCAGAATGATTGGATAGAAGGGAGACTGCATGTGATAGTAGCCACCATTAGTTTTGGAATGGGTGTGGACAAGGCTGACGTCAGGTAAATTTCAAATTTCACAAACCAAATGTTGGACACTCAGTTAAATAGATTTCACATTGTCTCTTGTATGGTCAGTCATGTGATTTCTTGCATGGCCAGTCATGTGATTTCTTGCATGGTCAGTCATGTGATTTCTTGCATGGTCAGTCATATGATTTCTTGCATGGTCAGTCATATGATTTCTTGTATGATCAGTCATGTGATTGAGGGTCTTTGATGAAGGACCCAAATATCATGCCTTGAAAAACACTAAATAAACACAAACCTCTTTAGAAATCAATTAATTTTTTTTTAAACTAAGATAGAGACTGTTGACAACCTTCTTCACTTAATGTGTGGTTGCCAAGGAACAACGTCAACACAGATTGGTGCCATTTTATTGAAGAACATTGATATTTAAGATATTATGATAAATGCCCACTCATTCGGACAAACTTTACCTTGGATGTGAAATGGAAATCAAAGAAATAATCCATTGAGGAAAGATCTTCCTTGTACATTTTTTGCTTACTGCAGAAGACAACTTTCTGTTAATTTATATTAAAAAATATATTCATTTCACTGAATTTAAATACAGTAATGACTCTCTTTCAATGGCAGCAAAATTGTAAATGTTAGAGATTCTTTAATATTTTTTTAGGTAACAATTTGTACAATTAAAATATTTCTGTTGAGTAGTAGCAACAAAATTGAAAAGCAAGCTACCCTATAATTGTAATTTATACAGTTAAAGAACCACAAATGCTGTGCTAAAATGAAATTTTTAATTATTCAAAAATTATGTTTCCGTGAGATTGATAATTTTCCCATTGAAAAAGTCTTTGCAGTAAGAGAAATTATGATAGAAAGTTGCAAGGTTTATTCATAAAAATTCATGGTGATTAGAATCTTAAAGAAAAAAATCAGATAAATAATTTATAATGGAAAAACTGTTTTCCCCTAAGGTTTGTGGCTCACTGGACCATCCCTAAGTCAATGGCAGGCTACTACCAAGAGTCAGGACGAGCTGGGAGAGATGGCAAGTTGTCATTTTGCCGCCTGTATTACTCTAGACATGAGAGAGCCACCATAGTTTTCTTGATACAACAGGAGAGCTTGAGACAAACAGCAAATGGGGCAGCACAGGTAGGCACATGTTGTAATGTAGTTTTTTCCAGAGGTATTATTTGCCCTTCAACCCCCTTCCCAAAATTGTGTTTTGTCCTCACACTGGTTCGTCCTGTAAAATTTAAAAGGCTTAAAGGGTTGCATGCCTTATGCTACAGAATGAGTGGTGTGCAAGAATACCATATCATGATTTGACTAGAGCTGCCAAAAATTGATGGCTAGCTTGAGGTTAATTACATTAATATCATGGGCATAATTTTTTGCTAATATATAGATTTTGCTAACCCCTGGTGTCTTCTTAAAAGCCTCTTGCAACATTTACAATTTAAACAAATATATTCTATCCACAATTTTAAGATTTAATTTTTTTCAAGAAAAAAGCATTTTTTTCCTTCTCAAAAATCATCATTCGCACTTGGATTTGATGTTTTATACCTCTTCCAGTGATATAAATTAATTTAGTTCCTAATGTTTGGCCTGACGTTTGAACCTTATGCTTTCCTGTACACGTACTGTACATTTTAGAAGAAAATATCAACATCATGCACTTTTATTTGAGGGTTATTATCCTTTCATATTCTAAATTTGAAAAGCTCAGTAGCTTTGCTGGATATGTAGTCACAGAAAATGCAGATAGTATGCCTGTAATGAAGTGTTCACTGTGATAGCAGCATTTAGTTATTACTGTTTTAACTAAGTGAGACTCAAAACTTGGTAGAATTACTCTCAGTTGTCACAGTAATGTTGCATTTTATTCACAGGTCAGAAAGACAGATATTTATAACTATACACATCATTTTTATTGAAGCACAGATTGATGTAATTTTTAAAGATGGAAACCTTTATGTGGAAGATTAAACCCTTAATGATATTTAATGAAAATTTTTACTGATTAAATGAAAGTTTAACATTTAATCTTTTAAATGGAAAATCCTTGAGGCATAACCCCCTTTGGGTCTGCTTTGTGAATGTAGCATCAGGTTTGAAATACAGCTTAGAAAATACATAATTCACAGGCACAGTTCAGTACATAATGATGTAACATTTGAGTTATTTTAAGATTTTATCATAGCTTAATTATACATAGTTAATTGCTTAATTTTACATGTTTAATTTATTTGTATTATGATTACTGAAAGGAATGTTATATATAATATAGGGTGTGCAAGTGTTTACTGCATTCCCAGTGGTATAAACCAGAATAACAATAATATTACATATTAATACACTTGCTTCTTAATAAGCACCTTGTGTGTTTGACTGAGTTTGTCACTAAATTACATAACTATACAGGTATGAAGAGAGTGATTAAAGGACCTCTGTGGTATTTACAATATTTTCATAATATTGCAAAGTTCAATAGAGTAAAATCGATATATTTTCGTGTGATGAAGTGATAAAGCAGGTATTTCATGGAAAATTGTGGGAAGGCGTGAAGTAAAACAGCAAGGTGTTGTATGAGTGTGATTTATGCTTGGATTGTGTCACTTAGGTTTGTGTTTAATTAAATTATAGCATTGGAATGTACAGGCACCATAAACAGTTTAAGTTTAATTTCAATATTACAAAAATGATTTACACAACTCCCTTCTCACACCTGTAGCAGGGCAAGAGCACTTGAAATGTAAGACTACATAAGTATTACCCAACTTTTTGCGCTGATATATCCACTTGAATAGTCAAAGATGATAATGAGATTGGACACTCCCTTGTTAGAATATGGATTTGTAGCTAATTAAAAATTTTTTTTAATGTGACCTGCTGCAAATTACCTTCCTGTATAATGTTTGTGTAACTTATAAGAAAAAGACATTTCAAAGGTTTTAATAGCTATTCTTATATCAAATCATCACAATCTTTATGTCTAATTTAACATTTTTAATGAAGTGAAATATGGAAGGAATTATAAGGTCACCATGATAATGAATGTTTTTATAAATTAAGACTTTTTAAAGATATCACATAGGTAAGAGCTGTGATTTTTGAAAATTAAACTTTTAGTGTACAAATTTACAAGATGGCAAAGATATTTAGCAAACGTAGGTCATTCATGGGAACTAAATGCACTGAATCTGAGATTCAATTCAACATATTTCAGATAACTGCACTTCTTGCAGTTGATGCCCTTTAAGAAAATGAGACAATATTCAAATTGAATACTAAATTCTAGATCCCGAGGAATATATGGCTGTAGGAATTTGAACATTGATTATAGATCTTATCACCACTTTGATATTCTAGATTAAAATGAGCCAAACTTGTTCCTAGGGCCATTAGTTGGGACAAGAAAGCAAATAGTATAGAATATCTCTCAACAAATATTTAGAAACCACTATAAACAAATAGTTGACCAGTGACAAAAGGTGACGTGTAATAAGATATCCTGAAAATATTCACTGTTGAGAACTCTTCAAGCGCATTCTTGTTAAAGGCTGTGCCATGGCCAGATTATTCTGATATATAGCAACTTGCCTGGTATTTACCGGAGGTTTCTATATGCTGATGTTATTAGCTAAGAAGCCTGTAAAGTAGAGATTAAAATCATCCGTGCATTATTCTGAAAGTCAACACAATTAATGGTTGGTGGTTGATTTTTTCATAAGACAGTGTAAATATATGTTGCAGATCTGAAGTACCGCACCTGTTTTGTTTACACTTCGTATTCCATTCCTTTGACACCTGTTTAAAGTTAAGATTGTCTCAGCAGTCCATTTGGTGACCTTGGACTTTGGGGTCGAATGAAAGTGGCAGTGGTGTATTTTGATAAATTGCAAGAATTTTCACCATGAACTTAGTCTAAAAAGATCCATGCTCCAGTGAATGCCATTGTTTCTGATCACAAAGTGTTTTTGTTATTATTATGGCTTTGGCAACAAAAGTTGCAGGCTTCCTACCTTGGTATGTTAGTACACGTAACTGATTTTCCCTGTTTTAAAACTTTCGGTAATAAAATTACTTACACCTTATATTACTGAAATATTTTTAAAAAATTTAGTAGCTGAGGGCTGTGCCCATGTTTTGTTTGAAAATTCAAGGATAAATACTAGAGAGAAAAAACTACTCCAAAAAAATTATACTCAAACAACGTAAGGTTTAAAGTAAAATTTGGCATATCCATCAGCACACTTAGGATTTGCTAAAAGGGAAAGTAAGGAGATGCAAATCAAATATTTTTTGCTTTGCTGAAGGCCCTTTTCTGAGTGAAGGACAAATTATCAATGCCTTTACTTTTTTTACTGCTGAAAGCAATAGTGAAAGGTACACAGAGATTGAATTTACACTTACAAGTTACAGCAATCAATAGGAGTATCTGATACTTTTTACATTCAACATATTTAACATTTGCGCTAAACCAAATGAAGTAACTGCTCTGGTTTAAAAAAAAAAACCTTCAGAATTTTAAATTGAATTATGTCAAGTCTGAAGTATCCAAACAGAAATGTCTGTACATTTAATGGTAAGTGTTTGGTTAAAGAACCTGTGGAAACGAAGTCAAACAGAAAGTTCCCCATTGACACAAAAGGTCTGGCACTGAACATGGTATTCATTTTACTAGCCAATATTGATTCTGAGATTTATTTTTTGAGAACTTTGAAACTGAATATCAATTGAATTAATTTTTGCCAATACTTTTATTGAAAAGGAAATGTTTGGTCAAGTTATCAAGGTCTGTACTTTGTGAATACTTTTTTGTGACCAAATTTATAAAGTTTCAAGTACATAATTCTGAAAATATTTGATCTCATTCTACAAAGGTTTTTTATTGTTGAAAATTTGAAGCATGTGAACTGACAATTATTTCGCAAAGATCCAGATTCTTTTGAAAAAAAAAAA